GCCACATTCTAAACTGCGCCTTGAAAGGCCTAGTAATGCATGGTTTTATCTCCCATGAGATGGTGTTCACGGTCTTATGCCGCGGAATCCTTGTAACTAATTTGATTAACTAAATAAAACATTGAGTTTCAAAACCAAAAGGATTCCCACCGAATACTAGTAAGTGCATCGTCATTGTTACTCTCGCGCTGGAAATTTTTCGCAACACTAATTAAAATAGAAAATCCTGATCTAGCAACATGACTAAAGGGGAACTTTAAATTATGCTTCAAGAGCAAATACTGAAAACCAAAATTTAGCAAATATGACTCAACATTCGTCCACTGCTAATATCAGCTGGCAACGGAGGTTCTTAGGCCCCCTGGACTTACGCCCGACGCTACATACCACCCACCCCGCCTGTTTAAGGCTCTAGGCCCAGGCAGGGTGCACCCCTTCGCTAAGAGCGCTACCCACCCATCGAACACGTTGCATCCAACGTGTCCGAGTGGTGGACGCTAATAGTATAGGCAAAAGGACTTTAAGACAGCTTAGCGTATGGGTTGCAACATACTTAAATGTTCCGTACTCTATGGCTGTGCCTGCAAAGGCCTAGTAATGCATGGTTTTATCTCCCATGAGGTGGTGTTCACGGTCTTATGCCGCGGAATCCATGTAACTAATTTTATCAAATAAAAACCAAAAGGATTCCCACCGAATACTAGTCAGTGTATAGTCATATTTACTGTCGCGCCGGAAATTTTTCGCAACACTACTTAAACTTGAAAATTCTAAAGGAGTAATATTTACTCTCGCGTTGAAAATTTTTCGCAACACTACTTAAACTTGAAAATTCTAACGGGGTAATATTTACTTTCATCGTTGAAAATTTTTCGCAACACTAAAACTTGAAAATCCGAACGGGGTAATATTTACTCTCGCGTTGAAAATTTTTCGCAACACTAACTTGAAAATCCTAACAGGGTAATATTTCGCTACACAAAGGTATGCGGGTGGATAAATGATTATGTGATAGAGTTCGTGAGGCTGAAGTGCGAATGATGAGTGTTTAGGGTCGAGAACCGTGAACGTGACAGAATGAATTTCAAGTTCGAAAGGAGAACTTTATACAATGCTTGAAGAGCAAATACTAAAAAGCAAAATTGAGCAACTATGACGCAAACATGGTGCACTGCTAATATCAGCTGGCAACGGAGGTTCTTAGGCCCCCTGGACTTGCGCCCGACGCTACATACCACCCACCCCGCCTGGGCGTCGTAACGCCAGGACAGGATGCACCCCTTCGCTAAGAGCGCTACCCGCCCGTCCAACACGTTGCATCCAACGGTGTCGGATTGACGGACGCCCATAGTATAGACAAAAGGACTACAGTTTAGAATATGGTAACATACTTTCATATGTTCCGTATTCTAAAGCTGCGCCTGCAAAGGCCTAGTAATGCATGGGTTTATCTCCCATGAGATGGTGTTTCACGGTCTTATGCCGCGGAATCCTTGTAACTAATTTGATTAAATAAATAAAATATTGGATTGAGTTTAAAAACCAAAAGGATTCCCACCAAATACTAGTCAGTGCATTGTCATATTTACTCTCGCGTTGGAAATTTTTCGCAACACTAATCAAAATAGAAAATCCTGATCTAAAAACATAGCTAGTACATAAACCTCTAACGGGCTAATATTTCACTATACTGATGAATGATGAGTGTGAATGATGAGTGTTTAGGGTCGAGAACCGTGAACGTGACAGAATGAATTTGAAGTATGAACGAAAAGCTTTCTACAATGCTTGAAGAGCAAATACTGAAAAGCAAAATAGAGCAACTATGACACAAAAATGGTGCACTTCTAATATCAGCTGGCAACGGAGGTTTTCGGGCCCCCTGGACTTACGCCCGACGCTACATACCACCCACCCCGCCTAGAACAGGGTGCACCCCTTCGCTAAGAGCGCTACCCGCCCGTCCAACACGTTGCATCCAACGTGTCAGATTGACGGACGCCCATAGTATAGACAAAAGGACTGCAGTTTATTAAATGGAACCTATGGATGGGCGCCACATCCTAAACTGCACCTTGAAAGGCCTAGTAATGCATGGGTATATCTCCCAGAGATGGTGTTCACGGTCTTATGCCGCGGAATCCTTGTAACTAATTTAATTAATTAAATAAGACATTGAGCTTCAAAACCAAAAGGATTCCCACCGAATACTAGTAAGTGCATTGTCATAGTTACTCTCGCGCTGGAAATTTTTCGCAACACTAATTAAAATAGAAAATCCTGATCTAGCAACATGACTAAAGGGGAACTTTAAATTATGCTTCAAGAGCAAATACTGAAAACCAAAATTTAGCAAATATGACTCAACATTCGTCCACTGCTAATATCAGCTGGCAACGGAGGTTCTTAGTCCCCCTGGACTTACGCCCGACGCTACATACCACCCACCCCGCCTGTTTAAGGCTCTAGGCCCAGGCAGGGTGCACCCCTTCGCTAAGAGCGCTACCCACCCATCGAACACGTTGCATCCAACGTGTCCGAGTGGTGGACGCTCATAGTATAGGCAAAAGGACTTTAAGACAGCTTAGCGTATGGGATGCAACATACTTAAATGTTCCGTACTCTATGGCTGTGCCTGCAAAGGCCTAGTAATGCATGGTTTTGTCTCCCATGAGGTGGTGTTCACGGTCTTATGCCGCGGAATCCTTGTAACTAATTTTATCAAATAAGAACCAAAAGGATTCCCACCGAATACTAGTCAGTGTATAGTCATATTTACTCTCGCGCCGGAAATTTTTCGCAACACTACTTATACTTGATAATTCTAACAGGGTAATATTTACCCTCGCGTTGAAAATTTTTCGCAACACTACTTAAACATGAAAATCCTAACGGGGTAATATTTATTCCCGCGTTTAAAATTTTTCGCAACACTACTTTAACTTGAAAATCCTAACGGGGTAATATTTCACTACACAAGGGTATGCGGGTGGATAAATGATTATGTGAATGATGAGTGTTTAGGTTCGAGAACCGTGAACGTGACAGAATGAATTTCAAGTACGAAAGGGGAACTTTATACAATGCTTGAAGAGCAAATACTGACCCCCCTGGGGGCCAGCCCATATACTAAACTGATGCCAATTTCACGAGTAAAATCGGAAAAACGTTTCAATTTCAAGAGCGATTTCGTTATCAAAATAAGTAGTTATAATAATTAATAGTATTCATGCTTATTACTTTGATATTGAAATCCGCTCATCGCGAAATAAATTCTTGTACATATAAAAAAGAAAGTGTACTGTGAAGTCGGAGGGTCATCCGACTTCTGTACATTTTTAAACTCGAAATCTATATATGTAAATATGTACAAGAATACCCTATCCTGAGCTAAGGCGTAAAATACACAAAAAAGCAATTTGCACGATTATCATTGTATAAAATGATACAGTGATATTCGTGGGTCACTATGCTCGCTCAAAAAATAAAAATTACAACCAATTCCCGTGTCGCTACGGACCATTCGTCCTACGACATGATGGGAACCAGAGGAACCTTAAAGCATGCGACTCACCGATCGTTGACTTGCACCACTGCACTCGCCACGCATCTTATTGTTAGATTGACCCATAGCTCGTCTGTTGGCTCGTCAAAGAAACGGTATCCCCACTGGCCAAAGCACTCATCTGAAAGCATAAAAATCACGATTCTTGAACGATATATGTTTTCTCTCAATTTGTTGTAGTTATTATGCTAATACATAGGATAATTCAAAAATATGCATGCAGAACTATATAGGAATAACTACACCATAAAACACGGTAAAACACATGCAAATACATCCCAAAACACTTGAAGATCAAAACCATAGAACACTATAAAATATTTGCAAAATTATAGTAAAACACATAGGGTACCAATCCATAAAACCTACTAATAAAACCGTATAAATATGCCAAAACACAAAGGGTACTACTCCATAAAACCCACTAATAAATCCGTATAAATATGCCAAAACACATAGGGTACCACTCCATAAAACCCACTAATAAATCCGTAAATATATGCCAAAGCACAAAGGAAACCACACCATAAAACACAATAAAGCACATGCAGGTACATGGGGTACCACACCACACAGCACACTAATGCACTTGTATAAAATTGTCAGAACACATGGGTGACCACACCATAAGTCGCACTAATATATCCGTATAAATATTCTAAAACATGGGAAACACTATAGGAAACACCATAGGCACACACAGTAACACTTGTGGTAACACACTGATAAATCCATGCACGAATATCCATAGTGTCAACCCGTACCGGTATATGTTTGACAGCTCGACCCATATCCTTCGGCGGTCGCGATAAGACTGATTAGATGTGACCTCTCTACTGGTCGCGCTTGAACCGGCGCGCGGCGCGCGCAATCAAGCATGACGTTCCGCTTCACCGGTTCCGCAGATTTAACTATTTCTATCTGATATTTGTTAATATTTGTTTAATTATTATTTTATATTTTACAATTGTTTATTATTCAAATTATTGTTATATCTATTTAAATTGTTTATTTCTTTACATTTCCGCGTGGGTATATTGCAAAATTTTGTTTAATTATTCCATTAAAAATTATTTAATTACTATTTATAATTTTACAATTGTTTGTTAATTAAATTATTGTTATATCTATTGAAACTTATTATTTTTAGAACTTTTATACACGGATATTCAGTAAATTTGTTTGAATTATATAATTTTTATACAATATTAAGAAGTGATTATTGTGTTTTAATATAAATTTGATTTTTATCAAATAGTTATTGAACGTTAGACAATAATAACAGTTACAAATACTCTCCGATTCTTTAATTAATTTATTGCTTTTCTAAAATGATTTATTTTCCAAAGTAATTGAAGTTAACTTGTGCTGTTGGTATAGCAGGATGTGATATGAAAAAGATACAAGAAAATGCATTGCATGTGTCTATCTTACATCTTTTCCATGGTTTTGTGTATCTAGGCAGCATTAACCCCAAAATATTGATGTCACTTTTTGCTTCCTTTAATTCAGATTAGTACAAAATACACAAACAGCTATTAGTTGGCTGAATTTAACCGATATTTTTAAATGTTAAATTCGCTCTAAATTCTAATTATCAATTTTATAATTAATATTACACTTAAATCAATATAAGATAGCAGATTTAAAAAATGGTAAGTTTGCGACAAATCGTAAATTCAATTTGTAAACTGTATTGAATGTTTTGGATTAATGTACCATTTTTAAGGCACAAGAAGTCGAGGAAACCATGAAACGTATTCAGTCACATAAAGGAGTAGTTGGAACAATTGTAGTCAATGCAGAAGGTGTGTTGTGTTTTAATCTATAGTTTTTATGTGATTGGTAGATAAAATTTAACGAAACTCTATTCAGGTATTCCAATCAAATCTACATTGGACAATACTACAACAGTTCAGTATGCAGGATTGATAAGTCAGTTGTCAGATAAAGCAAGATCTGTGGTAAGAGATTTGGATCCAACAAATGATCTTACATTTTTACGTATTCGAAGCAAAAAACATGAAATTATGGTTGCTCCAGACAAAGAATTTATACTCATTGTAATACAAAATCCAGTTGACTGATATCCAAAAGAAAAAGTACTACATACAAGGATACATGGTTTATAAATCACTAATATATTATTTCACGTGACATATTCTGTTGCAATGTTAATTACACTATGCAAGTATCATATAAAATGTTGATTTTCAAACAAAATTAAAGAATGTACTTTATAATTATTATCAAATAATATTGCACTGCATAGTAAGATAACTTCAAATATTACAAAATGACTGCTTTAAATGGAAATTTTTATTACCTAGATCTTTTGAAAAAATTTTATTTATTATTAACACAGTTACAGTGTTTATGTGTTATGTAATTAGTACTTCATGCTGTTATTTTTTAATAAATTTTCATTAAAATAAAACAACAGATGTTATCTTATTAATTTAAAATACTTAAAATCATATAAAACCTTCATTCATGTGAAGAAAATAATATATTTATTATAGAAATGATTAATTTTATTTAATACAAAAGTATGTAAAATACATTAAATTTTAAAAAATATATTGGTAATAGTTAGCTTTATAGAAGTATACTAATCAGTGTTACAATTTTTGTTTCTTATTTGATTTTTACATACTTCTAATTCTTCAGGACTCGTGTAAAAATATAAAAATTTTGTAATATAATTATTAAGAAAATACAATAAAAATCGTATCGCACACGCGATTATTATAATATGTGGTCATGTAATTTTCTCAGTCTCAAGAGTGAAATCTTAAATATTAAAATATTTAATGTATATTTTCTTGAATATATAACGACCACTATATTCGTGTATCTAATTGCAAATCTGTTATAATAATTATTAGTGTACACAAGAATAACATATACCAGGTACAAAATTAAATATAATATCAGAAATATAGTCAAAGTAATTAGTATAAATAGACATCACTTAATTACAAATCCTACATACAAATCCTACAAATCAACTAAATTTTGTTCACGAGTCTATGAATAAAAATGTTTACTAGATGGACTAGTATTTTTTTAATAAAAATTATGTGTTTACAGAGTTTTGATGTTTTAAGGAGGGATGGAAAGCACTGTAATAAACGGTCATAGCTGTTATACCTAACAGAAAAGGTATAATACAAAGAATAGTAAGTACATTGAAGTACCAAGAATTTTTAACTTCATTTGATGATGTATATATCCAGAATACAGTTGCTGTTATATTTTCAAGAAAACATACTATATAAAAAAACACATGTTTGAGAAATGTACTACCATCTACAGCATTTAAATATATAAATATGTGAACTATACCAATTACTAAGGAAAATAATATTGAATTGATACGTTCCTTAATTTTTGGAGTATAATGTGGAGCATGATTGTGATTTCTACAGAATTCTAACATACCATGAGAATCAATAATGATCCATGCAGTCATACCTATCCAGTGACAAATACAACCAATGGCAGTGTATAGTGGCCATATACTTGCAACAACACTTAAAGATAATATTCTTGAAACTGAAAATTTAGTTGAAATTTTAGAAGCTAATTCTCTTAAACAATCATAGCTTACATACCTGTTGTACAAAAGTGCCATAAAAATTGCAAAACTGTTCCTGTAACACCAATATTTAACTTATCTTGTTGAACCAATCTAATGCTACGATGATAACTAGCCATTGCCCATCCCATACTTCCAAGTGAACTTAGGATACTAGCTACTTGATGAATAACTATAATAAATATAAATATAAATTTCAGTCTGATATACATGTAATGTCATAATGGTTATATAAAAATATATGTACACTCAAAATTAATACTGTTATGATAGTGTTTCAATAATATAGTTAACTGTAAAATTTGTTGAGGTGCTGCTTCAAGAAAACATTCAAACACCCTTAACAATGCAACATCTTGATCCTCCTTGAGCATTTTCAGATAATATTTCTTTTGAGCATTTCGATTTTCTTGTTTTTTAAACTTGTATGCTTTGATAGCATATTTCAAAGTTTGATAGTAACGCAGTACTGGTGCTAATTGAAATGCTATAACTACAATACAATATAATTTTTTTGAAAGCATTTTATGTACACATTTGAATTCTGATTGATCTGATTCTGTATTTCTCTATAAAAAAAAGCAAATTGCTTTTAGTGTGATTAAAATGAAACATGTAAATGAAATGAGTATGTAATTACATTATTATCTTGTCGTTGCATTTTTCTGCTGATTATGACATTTATGAATGAAGGTAAAAAAATAAAAACAGTTGTCCATACAAAATATGTTATTTTGTTTGCTAATAAATATCTAATAGCAAGATTTATGTCAATTGCCATGTCTAAAACATGCATAATTATTGAAGACACCAGAAAAAATATATCCAAATAGGATATATTTGGATTTTTTAAAGGAACATCTACATCATCAATATCCAATTCCAATACAGGAAAAATACCAATTATTTGTCGTGTATGTAGATGTTTATTATTTGCGATTTCCATTTTTAACCATGGTAGTTAAAATCATCAACTCCTCTCAATTATAATACATTTGTTCCATTCATTTTTCACACTATCTTTGAATGGTAAACCTAACCTTGATGAAAATATGTTTTTGTTTATCTGGAAATTTATACAATATTAGATATTCATTTTCATTTTATCAACTGTTCTGAATAGGAAATATATATCTGAATTAATGTACGAATACAGTTCAATACATTTTAAAATATATAATGCGGAACTTACTTTTGTATAACAAGTGATACATTACTAATACAAACGTACTTTGTACTAATGTATAAAAAAAACAATGGTATTGTTTAAATTGATGTTCTGTAACAAATTAAATAAATTTTTGAAATTCATTTTACATTGTTATGGGATAAAGATGTTTTAACACAAACTGAAATAAATTAATATTATCCTTCTCTAGCTATACAGATTTTAAAAAACATAAAAATATATATTTCTGTGTATATACTTAAAACATATGTAATATGTACTAAAAGTTTCTATTTATTTTTTGACATGCTAATAATTACACACTGTTACAAACTTGTACGCCCTATACATATTTAATGTTGGCATAGTAACCATTAAAATACAAGCGTAGGATGAAACTATAGTTTTTTGAATAAGAATTTGTTACTGATAAATGAATAGTTTTCCGTGATAAATGAATACATTAAATAGTAAAAAATATTCGGTGACTATAATTGTGCAGTATTTAATACTACTGTTCGATATCTTCGTTAATTCGTTTGCTAATTTCTCTCGACAAAATCCAATTAATTTATTAATTCTTTACATGTACATATGAACGTTATTGTTTTTTTTTTCAACATATTGATCATAATTTTATTTTAATTTTAATTTTTTAGGGTTCAAGATATTTGTCTTATTGTAACTCTTACAATTTTACTAGTTAATTTCTTTTCCACCTACATTTTTCAGGTAATTATTTAAATAATAATAGTCAAAATATAATATGTGATTTTTTGATAACACAGTATTCTCCAAGGTATTAGTTTATTACATATCAAAGACTAATTGTATTTTTTTTTGTTATGCAGATAGGATTAATACAATTGTTGTATACAAAATTTCGTATAACATTAATATTATGTATTATATACATGATATTAAGTATTAGTCTACATATATGGGATATTAAAGTGCATTGGTCATCATCCTTCAAATACCATTGGACCAAAGAATTCCATGTTCTTTATTCATTACACAGAGGAGGTATATTCAAAATTAAATATTATATACATAATTTTTAATGTTCTTATTTTCACATTTCTGTATATTAAAGTTGCAGTTTTATATTACTACTTTTATAAAAGAACATCCCTCAGAATTGCAGATCCAAGATTCTATGAAAGTTCTACATGGGTTCAAAATCAATTTAGTCTTTCATAGTTAATCTTTTAGAATAAATTACAATGATTGTCAGAAATGCAAAATGATGACAGTACATGCCTCTTATAATTTTATGTACATTTTTTTTATCTTGTTTATAATAATGTTACAATGATATTTAACATAAAAAATTTTAATGATGTAAATATATAAATTTTATATTCTAATCTAGATTATTTAAAAATAATTACAGTTTAATGTATTTTTGAAATAATTCATTTTATATACAGTATAAAAAGTATTTTTTTTTACAATTGTATTTATATGTTATGAAAATAAAATGTAAAATTTTGTACAATTTTAAATATACATATGTAATTTACATTACATACAAAACTACATTTAAACATTAAAGTATCAATCATTATATGAATGAGAACAAGCAGCAATTTATGGTACATATTTTGTTACTTATGATATAAACAATGCAGTTTGTACTACTTTTAACATTTTAAAATATAAGTTAATATCACAAGAATATATTTTTTAATCTAATAATTTATCCATTGCTAAAAGAATTACCATAAACAAGTCAAGTTTATGGGAACCATTTAATGCAGAAAAATGAAGTTTACGTGCCGTCGTAATAAAGCACCATTTGCAGTAAATTACTTTTTTTGTAAGTCTTAAAGAGCAAGTAAAAAAGAAATTCTATTGAAATTATTTACAATACCTATGTAATGTCTATTGTATTGAAATTTTATTTTCGTTATTTTATAAAAAAATATAATATGTAAAAGTTTTTATACATTTTAATACATCACACGTTTTGAAAATGCAAAACTATTATCCCTCATCATTCTTTATAAATAACATGTTCTTTTATTGATTTAACTGTTATTATGCTTTAGCCTTTTTATATTTCTGTACAGCAGTTTTGATGTCCAAAATTCTGTTAAAAATTTTAACATCAACATAATTAAACAATAAAATAAGATGATTTTAACTGTTTAACAAATATTTTAATACTATGTTAAAAAAAAATTATTTCAAATCAATAATTGGCTGGGCTTATTATCTCTTTTAAATGTAATAAAAGTATCATTTTTAATTTGAAGAAATAAATCTCCTTTCAAAGATTGTTTCATATATTAGAAAAAATAATACCTTTAAATAAATATTACTAAAATGTAATGTTTTTAAACAGTATGATTACCATGAAGAAAGAGTAGCTTGTCTATCAAATGAGGCGGTAAAGCAGCTCGTCTCGTATCATATAAAACTTGTATTTCTGCCGGTATTCTTGAGGGTGGTGCACAACATGCAGGTACACAATTATATCTACAAGCCAACTTGCCCAAGTTCGGACATTTTGCAGAAATTTTAGCCCACCACTGAAGAGGACAATAATCAAGTGGTGCAGTAGATTCAGAATGATACTGTACAAGTTCAAGATCAGCTTTTTCTTCTGCGGGCATTCCACTTTTCATTGAACATAAACCTCCAAGTAAAAGTTCCATACCTACATGTAATTATAATATATTCTACTTTTGTTAATAAGAAAGATAAAAATCATTAGACAATTTATAATACCAACCTGATAAACGACTCTTTTTATTTGGAGGTTCTTCTTCAACTTTAATGTTACCAGTATCACCAGATTCTTCTTGTATTAATTTAGTCAACATCTCTTTTATAGGAGCTGCAACTAAGTTTTTATCTTCCTCTGTGGCATATGGTAGTTGTTTGAACCTAATACACAATATACAATGTAAATTATACTTATATGCATTTATATTTCTATAATTACTCATAATTTATAATTACCTTGGATCAAGAGTAGTTGCAATTTGAAGTAAAAGAGTAACATTATAATCTGCATATCTATCACAAAGCATATCAGATAAAGACTCTTTAAACGATTTAGCTATATCGCTATCAGTTTCCTTAACTTTTAGATGAGAAGACACCAATTGCCAAAGCAATGGTTTTAATAATGATATTAAAGGCATCTTCTCTTCGCTAAGGGTCATAATTGTAACCTTGAATGGCTCTAGAACATTTACGAGATCTTCCACAATTTTCCACTGTTCATTTGTTAGATCAACTACTTCCTGATCCACACCTTCCATGCTCTCTAAAATTGATGTTACAATATTATGACGCAGGACTATTTGTTCAAGCATGTTATATGTTGATGTCCATACAGGTGGATAATCTATCAACATAGTGTTTTCCTCCAACTGCAATAACATTAAATAAATTTTTTAATGAATTCATAATTCTGTAAGTGGTCATTTATATTATGATTTTCCATTTACCTCCAGTAATTGTTCTTGCATAGCCAAAGCTGCTGATGCAGCTGGATGACTTATAATGGCTCCAATAACTGCTCTGCATTTTGATAATATGGTAGCAACTTCTGGATTTTCAAAACAAGCCTGAGCACATACTTGCAGAGTATACAATAAACAAGGAACCAATGTTAATCCTCTGCTTGTTAAAGCAGTTAATAATTCTGATCTGGACGTGGCTACTACTACTGCAGTTATTTTTTCTATTTTCAAGTCCCAATCAAGTAACAAAGAATCTATTGTATTACCCCATTGAGACTCTTCCCAATCTAAAGGTGCATGAATTGTACTTAGTACTTTACATTCTAAAACTGGTTCACCAACATTTTGATAATACACAGAAATAGTAACAAATCTCTCATCAGAATTTGATCTCCACTCTTCAACTGTTAAACCTACTTCGCTATTAATACAAGACAAAGTTGTGGTCACTGATTCACGAAAGGCATCATAAATCTTTGGTATTATTTCTTCTTCTAATTTATTTTTACTAGGGATTTCACAAGGTGAGCGTAATGTAGCGACTAGTCTTTGAAAACCTCTACCCTCTACCACTTCTGGTAACTGTAAATCCATTATGATAAATTCTGCTATAGCATCTGACACAGTTTTGCCATCTATACTTGATTGATTAATGGAATTATCTTCTGGCATAAGAAAGGCCACATTCTGACTATTGTTTGCAATATTGGAACCACTTTTAATCATAACTCTTAATGGTTGACCAATTGTAATATCATCTTCAATATTAGATAAAGTTATGTTTGGATCAGTTACAAACTGAATATCTCCATCTATTTGAACAGTACCATCAGCATTAGTGGTATAAATATGTTGTGCAGAAGTTAATCCTGCCTTTAATAATTTTTTTTGAGCTCTTCTCTCTTTTGTCTCTTGAGAAAGTACCTGTCTGCGAGGAGGATTAGTAGCTTCTAATTCTAAAAGTTCTTGAGCATGTTTATTTTGCAAATGCATACGTAAATTACTAGTATTACGATTATATGCAATCTGAGTTTTACACAGTACACATACAATTTTGACTTTAGTAAGAATATCACCATCTTCAGTAGCTGGAAATCCAAAGAATTTCCAATAAATACTTCTCATTGACATAGGTACTACTAGTTTCTTATAAGTATATGTATGTTTTTCTTCCATCATTTTGGCAAGTATCATTTGCATCTCACTTTTAGAATCATCTGTTGTAGCAGATTTTCCATTGTTAGGTAATATTATTGATTTACTTTCCATAATTACAAATTAAAATACATAAATACCGGCACGTCTTATCTTTTAAGTATTAAAATGTATATATGCATAGTATTTCTCATATTTTTAATCCTTAACACGACTTATTTTTCGTCAAAATGGAGGATTTTCGTTGCATAATTTAAAATTCAACTGTTTTTAAAGAATATATAACTCTTTTTTATTAATCTATCTTCTCCTCTTGTTATAATAGAATAACAAATTTACCGCGAAAATTCCGATATCTCAAAGTAGCGTTTGACGAATTATTTTACAGATATCGAACTTCAATTTCTCGTTTCGAAAAGAACGATGCACGATCGGTTATCGACTAGCTCTCGTAACGATGCTATCGACTTTCTTTTGTTCAATGAAATATCGCTAGATACAACTCTCAACTAATCGATTTCGTAAAACGCTGCAGTGTAAAGCATTCTGATTGGAGCATGCAATATAATTTAGAACCGAACCAACTTAATAGTAGAAAAATCTCTATGAAAGTAAAGATAATTTTATATTGGCAATAAATGTATGTATTTATTAAAAGAATTTACCAAGTTCTGGATTGTTTAAAAAAAAACTTTCTTTCTAACATACAGAGAAAAATGTTTAGCGTAACTTTTATCAGGAAATAAACAATAATCACTTATCAATGGATGAATACAAGTGTCTCAAGAAATCATAAACTCATAACCTCTACAAACGGCGATCGACGCCACTTATTATTTTTAGATTGAACGTGTAAATATGTTTATATGCAACAATCGTTATTGCTCGAATTAAATACTATATATCCAATAGTAGTTTTTAATAAAGTAAAATGCTTTCTTAAAGCGTTACCAAACTTTAAGTTTTGGTTATGTTTGATTCGTCACGATTGTTGTAATTATATTAATATACTGTCCATGATATATGAAAAAATGTACATATCAAAGAAACTAAAAATATTCTCTTATTTAGTGTTATGGAGATTAGCCTGTGTTTTTCTTGTACAAACTGCCCATGTACCAGATGAATATTGGCAGTCATTAGAAGTTGCTCATCATTTAGCATTTGGATATGGATATCTGACATGGGAATGGTATATGAAAATTCGCAATTATATTTATCCATTTCTGATATCTATCTTGTATAGAATGCTGGCATTGGTGTCTTTAGATCATGTAACACTTTTAATAACATTACCTAGAATATTTCAGGCATTTATGACTGCTTATGGAGAATATAAGTTTTATGAGTGGACTAAAAACAAATGGACTTTATATAGTTTATGTATAAATTGGTACTGGTACTATTGTGCTTCGCGTACACTAATAAATACTGTAGAAACATTGTGTACTATGATAGCTATATCTATGTTTCCATGGCGTGATAGTAATGTTAAATCTATAAGATACTTATGGATTGTAGGGTTTTTATGTATGATGAGACCTACTGCTGTTATTATATGGTTACCCTTATGCATTTATCATTTATGTACAAGTTTGCAAAATAAGTTTGTATTAATGTGTCAGTATAGTATAATAGGCAGTGCTTGTTGCGTTAGTTCAGTATTAATGGACACTTATTGCTATGGTACATTTGTTATTTCACCTTGGGAGTTTTTCCGTGTAAATGTTTTACACAAGATTGGAGATTCATATGGGACACAACATTTATTGTGGTATATTATAAGTGGATTACCAGTACTTTTAGGTTTACATTATGTTATTTTTTTATTATGTATGTGGCAAGTAATGAAGCATCCTAGTTCATTTCATCGTCAATCAATTATGTTAGTTGTAATAAGTTGGACAATTGGCATTTATTCTTTATTATCTCATAAGGAATTTCGATTTTTGTTACCACTTTTACCAATGTTCATATACATTTGTACTTCTTGCGCATCTCCTCTAACAATGAAATCTGCAAAAATAGTTAAACGAGCGTTTATAGTGCTATTAATAATCACCAATGTTCTACCTGGATTTTATTTTTGTATGATACATCAACGCGGATCGCTAGATGTGATGAATATTCTTCACAATGAACTTAGTGATATTAATGATACAACTAACATACTATTTCTTACTCCTTGCCATGCCACTCCTTTGTATAGTCATTTACATGTAAATATACCTATCAAAATATTGACTTGTGAACCTAATTTTAATAGTAGTATAAACTATACAGAGGAAGCAGATGCATTTTTTTTAAATCCAATGCAGTGGCTAAATAATTACTATAGTAATGAAAACAACACAATACCCAGCCATGTGATATTATTTGATAATGTTATACCAAAAATCAAACAATTTTTAGAACATTATCAACTTATATCGCAAACATTTTATACGCATTTACCGCAATCAAATTATGGAAAATATATTCATGTATATAAACATAAATAAAAGATATTGAATTAAAGAAAACCCATTAATCGCTATTACATATTATCATTCTCTTATTCAGTTTTATGATCCTCAATTTATCTTTTAATTATTAATTATATATTATTTCTCCAAACATTCGAATTAAATAATTTTTAAAATTAATCTTTAATCTAAAATGGTTTGTAGGTGGCAATAATTTAATAATAAATTAATAAATAAACATCTTTTTCTTTAAATATAGCTACACATAAGCAGAAATTGAAGTTACCACCTAAGAGGGCGGTCGTAATGATGAAAATAATTGAGCCACGCAGCGGGAGGAGCCGAGGTTCCCAACGGATGGTTTGTGGAGTGAAGGAGGTGGTGATCAATGGTGGTAGTAGCAATGGTGGTGGTAGAAGTAAAAACGTAGTAGGAGAAGAAACGACCAAACAACTTTTCTACAGAACCATTACGAAAATCTTGAATAATTATGATTAGATGAAGCGAATATTGATGTAACGATGATGGAAAATCAATCTAGTTTTAAAGAATGAGCATGTACCGTTACCAAATAGATCTTGAATCTTGGCCACAGAGCGAGAGAGAGCAAAGGAAAGACGATGATGATTCTAACGGTATATTCTCGACCCTAGTTGTTTCTACCAACTCGTAGTCGTTGATATTATCACTTGCATTGTTTCAATCAAATACTTGTGAACACTTTATCAAAATTGTTATTTTGTTCTCATATCAGGGAAACTCTCCAAATTTTCAAGAATATATTATTAAAATTTTGCTTCAATACTTCATTAGCTATATCTAAAGGGTTGCTCATCTGTTTCAGCTTCTAATTCTTGAAGGTCGTATAAGTCCAATATCCTGTTCTCTGATAAACCAAGTAGAGGTAGGAAGGAAGACAGCAGACTGATCTGTAAGATGGTAACAATTGTAAGATTGAATATAGTGGTTGCAACCGTGGGTAAAGAAAGGCGGACGTGGTAAAGTAACTCAAAGTAAAGTAAGGAAAGGTAACTCGTGGCTGTAATCGAAGGTACAGTAAGATGGTGCAAGTGGGATGGAAGAAAATATAAAGAGGGGACTGACTACATGGAGTCAACGTTCCGAGCGGGTCAGCGACCAGCCTGTCTTCTTTTCTCTCTCTCTCTTACCTTCTCGTGTCCTTTCCTTTATCATGATACTTCACGGTTGCCTTTTCGTATTAGTGGAACTTTATGTACTTTATACTTCGACATTTGGAAGGTACCAGGGCGAGTAAGGGAAATTGGGTCACACTTCCCTCGAACAATTCAGCCTTGCACCGAAGTCCTATGTTAAATATAACACCAATCGCGGAAGAATCGTTGTGATTTGCAATGCTTTGAAAGTTATGTACAGATACATGTACGAAAGGCACGAATATAATCCTCAGTCCGAGAGAAAGTTCTGTGCAACGGTGAATCCGCTCCCCTTCCTCCTATCGTAAAAGAGCATCTAAAACGAATTGTTCATCGTAAAGTACGATTGGTTATAGGTTCTATCTCGAAGTGTTTGGAGAATATTCAAAATAAAGGAATACCTATTTCCTACTTACAAAAAACTTAGCAACTATTTCATTCTTCGATAAAGGAATTGATTTGTTTTTAAGAAGTGGCAGTGGTCTCATATGGGAAATCAAAAGCGTCACTCTATAATCCTTTTTGAGAGAATTTCATTAATCTAGATCGGCTTTAAATTACAGAAGCACCCTTGGCAATATATTATACAGCTTTAGGCATGGAACTAGCCAGGATCAACTTTGGGATCTTCAAAAAGCAGGTGTTTGACAGGTGTCCCTAACCCGAGGAACTTCTCCTTTTCCGTCCTCTTCCGCCATCGCCAGACGCTGCAAATAAGTATTATGTTCTCTATATTTATACAAAAAAATGTTTGCGTGTAATATCGTGAAAACCTGATTCATAATCTATCAATTAGGATAGCTACGCGAAAAAATATTCGACTTCCGTTTTCAAGATAAAGAAGAACTAACGATTGTAATAAAATACTTGTCATTATGTATGCGCGAGGTACTTTGAATTCACATCTATTTTATAACAGCACAGTGTTCGTTTGTGTAGGATCAATATGACACAAAAGGTTCAGAGTCCGATCTCGTAAACCGGCTCTCCTTACATCGCCGATCGAGACTTTGCTCTTTCGAGCCGAGAACTTTGCTCTCGCACGATTCTCGTTGTCCGTATACGCACCTGTTCTTTTCATCCTTATCTGTTTTTAGAATATCCATGGTTCATTTTACATTAATTTTGCCTTAAAATAGGATTTTATTTCATCCTGAATATTTTCCTAAGTATTTTGATGAATTTTCAAACTGAATTTCCTTCAATATATTTTCTGAAGAGTAATCAGCTCTTTGTCAATCGAATCCTGTGTATTTTGATAAATCAATAATAAGTATGATACAATATAAGAATTGTCAAATTTATAAATGTCTTGTAGTGCAAAGCGATTGACCTGATCAGGAAGGACAAAAACCATGTATTACCTATTCATGTATGCATAAATATATGTGTAACAAATGTTAGAAATCGACATCCTTATAGCGTCTAATTCTCGAACTTGGTCCATCATAGACCAGACGATGATGCACTTGTCCTCCTCCGGTCGTCGTTACGCGCTGTCGAGCTCAACCAATCACAGTTGGTAAGCAACAGGTGAGCGACCAATCCGATCTCCCTGTCACGACATCGCCGTTCTTACGTAGCGCTAAGCATTTCGCTTCACGGATATTCCTACCATATCCAAACGACGATTGCTTTCCCGTTTTCTGCTTCTTTGTCTATACATAGTCACCTCTCGTTCTCCCATTTCACCATCCGCAGGCGATCGTACCAACCTGTTGCTCGTGGCTTTCCTTTACTCTCCTTCCCTAAGTCAATTTAACGCAAACTATATGTATAATATTCATACACGTCCCGTACTATGTTTATGTCGCGTTGCATCGACTTTTTAATTCTAACAAGTTTCTTTATCTGATTTTTCATTCGAGAGAGAAATGTAAATTTCCATACAATCATTGATTGCAATGGTGTATCTAATCTAATTAAAAAATTGATATTGTACAATAAAATCATCTAACAAATAAACAAGATTTATGGAATTAATAATAAAATATGTGAAATGATGATTCATTAATATTAAAATATAGATCGATAATTTATTGAAATTACCGGTATTCAAGAAACATTATGCGTTCATGCAAATGTAAGACGTACCTGCGTACATATGTACGCAAGCCGGCAATAATTATAATTCCATGTTTAACGAGTATCCATACGACCTAATGACTCTTAAGTTTACACGAAGATACATCCGCGGTACGGATGTATTTTTTTCTTTTAAATCCGAAGAATTGCGAAAGATACGTGAATACTAGCGTGATATACGTTCGCGCGTTATCAAGGCCGTGATCATGTTATGGAGGGAGCATCGAATCGAGGGCACAGGCGACGGTACGTACCTGTGATTTGTTGTCGGGGGCTACTTATGCTCGAAGGAATCGTGTAAGGTGGTCGCCATTTTCGTTTCTCCGAGTCACGTGAATAATAAGCGTACCTCCTCGAACTAACGGATTGTATGCTTTCCTAATCAAAACCATCGAACAATACTTGCACTTGTATACCTTTGCGAAATTCATTCATACGCGGACTATCGTTCGGTGGTTCGATGTATCGAATTTCGTTAGAAGTCCGCCATGAAGAAGTAAACGTGGCGCTCCAGGTGGAAAATAATCGCGGTCGGGTAGCGGGGTGAGCATACCGCAAGGCGAGTGGAATGTCTGCGCACCTGGCCAGTGCGTCGCTGCTTTGACCTGCCTTTCCTTTCGCCTCCTTTAACCTGGCTGGCTGTTGGATTTTTCGACGTAGGAACTGTACGACGTGTCGATCGGCTAGTATCGTGTAACTAGTTAAAAAAATTTCTCGAATTTAAATCGTTCTGTGCAGTTTATTGTGGGTTTGCACGTTTTTTAACGCGACAATATTGGTCTTTGTCGCGCCGCATTTTCAACCGGCAGTCGTGCGTCTTCGTCGCGCCCATCGCGTGAGTTCGCCGTGCGAGAAGCCGCGATCACGGGAACGAACGAAGAGGGTCCCTATAGCCAACGAGCGACGGGTTTCGATGCGCAGTCGCCAGGTGAAGCAACAACGACGACGTGTGCGCGCAACGGTCGGGGTTGGACAGTGTTGCACGAAACCTTGCCACTCACGACGGCGGTCCGTCGACAGAGCCGCGCAAACAAATAATTCGCGGGTGCTGTCCGTTTGCGAAGTTTATCGCAGCGAACTGTATACCTGCGCAGAAACGTGGCGCGAGGGATACATTTACACACCTATCATAGGTTTGCGATCTGGATCAACAACGGTCGATCCTTAACCTCAATCACCGCGATAGATAGGCAACATGTCGCGTTTCAACGACAACAGTCTGTGAACGTGTGAACGTAGTGCGGACGTGAGATTCAGGTGAGCAATCAGGAGGCCGAATTTGGCCTTGTCCAGGACACGTTCACGTGCAGCGTGTTGTGCTACTTTGATAGGTTCAGGTGTACGTTGACCCAGAAGTAGTGAGTAGTGTATTGAACGAAACGGACGAGAGAAACGAAAGGTAATCCTGGCACGATGCAGACTACGGGAACAAGGGGACCTACTCACCTGGTCGCCCTTTACGTGGCGACAGCCGGTCTTCAGGGTAATGCTCTTGGATCTGACGAAGAGGAGATCACGTTGTTGGTTTACGTGCTGATCGACGTGTTGCAAAATAAGGTAAGTCTTCGGAAATGTTGATAAACAACTGAGCGAAAATCAAGTAATGTAAAATTATGTTAAACGATCCGCGGTTTCGTGTCATCCATTTCCTCTACACGATTTCCTTGTGCTGATACTCTTTTAAAAATGTCTGACATTACCTTGAAGCGTGATGTCGTCGAATAACATGAAATAACGTTGAAAATCATTCACATATGTTATAAGATTAATTAGAAAATAGGTGTACGATAGAACTAGTGGGTCTTGTTCCATCGAGTCATTGTTAGTGGTTAGAGTTCTCGTTCGATTTTGATCGACCGGCCATGGACCAATAACAGTGATCGATTGTCAACTCGAAGTTTAAATCGAGTTAAAACACGAAAGCGCGAAACTATTCATATTTCATTGAACTTTTGTGAAAGTCTTTTAAACCACTGTCAATCTTATTGCAATTATGTTGCACTGCCACCGCACGACACTGTTTCTGCATGTCCCCGGTTGCCATTGTTTCTCGAATTATCTGGTGGGGGCGGAGCGTCGCGCCCTCGAAAGGTCGTCCATCAGTTCCACCTTTGCCATCGAGATTATCTGGCGCCATGGACTCCTTTTCTCATAAGTTCTCCTATGTTACGATGCTGGGAACCTACGCTTCCTGTTTCAACGCGTTCCTTTATCAACATTAACGTTAATTATTCTTTTTTTGTAACTTTAGTACCTTGCCTATTTTAATTTCATTTGAATTCATTATTCCTTCAACTTACCTCGCCATAATTGCGGCTACGAGTCGCGAATAGAAAGTGTAAAGGACTTTAGACGTAGCAGCTTGCGTGTATATTGATATTAATAACTAAAATTAGTTGTAAATATTATTGTTTATATATAATAATATTTAAAATTTTTATTATGTTGATTGTTTATTTCATATTATAATTTTAATATTAGAAGGTTATTCTTAAACTTTCTCAGATAGAAAGTCTGTTGTTTTAAGAAAAGTATCCAACAGTTTTCTCGATGTAACGCAACCAGGAAAAAGACTGAAGAATTCGACTCGTTTATGTTTATTTTTTGCGTCTACCACGTTCAAGCGGTGCTAGTGCTTTTTGCGGCAATCTGGAAAGATCCAAATTTTTCCGGGTTGGCTTTCGAGAAATCCGGTGGGCATCCGGCACGGCAACAGGTGCGCCTAGTTTTCTTTATTCTTTGTTGTGAATCGCCTTGCGGCCGAGTTCCAGGTAAACAGGGTCGTTTCCTTTTTCCCCTCGAGTCACATACCTGGCTATCACTGATCGAGCTTTGATCGGGGACAATGGCCGCCAGTTGAGCTTTCCTCTATGCTTTACAGTATTCTCAAAGAAATACATACGTGTTATTTTGTTCCTATCTATTATTGTCTAATCGTTTCGATTTCGAGACTCGACCTCGACGCGTAGGCCGCATTTATCTTAAGGTTCATTTCCATCGATGTAAATAAACTGATAGAAGATCGATGATCTATTATCAGCGAACGTTACTTAAATGTTGGCGATATTCCAAATTAATTGGATAATTTTTATCAAATAAAGAGATTCTTATTGCACGTTTCTAACGGATTAACCTTAGAATAATGAAATGAATTGAAAAAATTGAAAATTTCAAATATTTCACAAAATTATTCTGAGTTCGTTAAATAGGTGGCTGATATGAAAATTCATACGTTACCTAGATGTTGCTGATGCATTGCAACGCAAGGCATTAATATCACTAAGGCTTTATCATCATCAGTGTTTTCAAACTCATGGCGAGGAATTTGATTTTACTTGGATTCTCTTCGTAATGACTCGCGTTGGGTACGTAAGGATTCAACGTGTGAAATGGGAGGACGTTGACTTTTAGAGACTTGGAAAGCAAGATTACGCTCGCTAGAACTGTTTCCAGACGCGAAACGGCGAGCGTGTGGCTTTAGATAAAAAACGTCGAGGTGTGTAATACCTGTAATTTGTAAAGAACTGAACTGTCGGTTAAAAACAGAATCCTCGAGGTTTTTTGACTGTGCTTGCAAAAATTGTACAACGGGAATTTGAAGTTAAAACTAAGCCTCTAAAACTACAGTTATAAGTGGTTGAAGCTTATGCTAGATTCATTCTTCCTGCGATAAATATATTTGATCTTCATGACGAATCGGAACACAATTCGATCGACGACTTCGTTTGGAGAATGCTTGCACAACTCAGCCATTGTGATTCGTTTCCGGCGTTTAAAGTTGATCGACCAAGTCGAACTCTCTAACGAGCGATCGTTGATTTATAAGTATGACCCTTTTGCTGCATACATTTCCGCGTGCCGTTTCGATTAAATCCTTTCGTAGTTGAGGAGCAACGACTGTTCGTCAATTTCATTCGGCGTAACTTCCTCGAATCGTTTCTTCGACAGAATCGCGTTGATTCGCTTTGCAAACGCTCCGATATTTACATTGCTTCGCAAACACTTCTCTATTCCTTCGGTTTCCATGATTTTAAAATACACCGTAAGTCTATGAAGTTTCAAGATTCTTGGTATTTAGTACCTATAGAGAAGAAATTTCCAAGTACCTCTTTCCCTAATTTGGCGAAACAAGAATTGATGGTTCGGAGTTTCAAAGTCCAAAACCTAAGTACCGTGCGTCGCCGACCTTCCAGAAGTATCCTTGGCATCTATAGGGAAGCATAGTGTTGATGAGGAAAAAAATTTCTAAGTCCTAATTATTTTATTATTTGTAAAGATATGAAAATAAAATTCTTTGAAAAGGAAAATTAGGTTAGCTATAAGGGTGAAGGTCACCTCAAGGCCATATCTTTCGAGATATCAGAGAAATCAAGATGTTGTTACCTTGGAATCCATGTTCAGCTGTGTTCCCAAGGACAGTTTCTAATTTCAGAACGTTATCGTCGCGCTGTTAATTTCTCGGTTTTCGAGAGATGATGATGATGATTTATCAAGATGGCGTATAATCGCCGGTAAATCTTTGCGTTTCTAACATATATATAATACGGCGCGATGTTCGTGTATGTAGGACACTTATGGAAGCGGAATATTTACTGCAGACCCTTCCTTCACGACCTTCGAACGGTAAAATTTAGGTGAGCAAGCTTTTAATCCGTCGGACAGGTAACCATGAACGTTTACAGAGTTCCAAGACGAATTTTAAAATACAAGGTGTCCCATGTTATACTTCAGCTCATTTAAAACACTGCTGTTTTCGTAGGAAAGTTTCTAGAATCAGCAGGATTGTACTGCTTTCCAATTCTCAAAATAATGACGTAGAACCGAATGATTTCCAGGTGATAATTAACATTTACGTAATATATAATACTGGTTCGTTTATGTCGCGAGTTACGTCACGAAGTTTTATCGGCTAAGATAATTCAAGCCGGTGGCACGATCGTAACGAACTACCTTGATCCATTAACCCCGCGTTAAAGAACCTGCCTATTAAGTTTCTTGCACAGTTTTCAACATTGACGATGTACTATCGTGTGACATCCAGAAACACTTATTTACGTATCATAGATTCCAATAAACGCGGCTCGACACGCGCCAATTTGCGATACATTTTAATAGTCACTATACTGGGTGTCTCTAAGTTAAAACAAAGTCAATATTTTTCATAAATATTAATTGTAGTTTAATAATTTTTAATTTTGTACACCCTGTATAGAGAATCATTCGTCAGAAACCTGATTTTTACGATTATTTCATTGTCCTTTCGATTTCGAATTGAGAAATCCGTTTCCAACGCTTGCGTTGGTACAATTAAAAAAATAAGAATTTTCAATTTTTCCTGGTCGTCACTTTCTATCCGGATTCGTAACGAGGTAAAAGTTTGAAACGCAAACCGATTGTTTACAATGCATTTACATTTGTTTTCCTTGACTCGTTCGCATGCCACCGAACAATTACCTACTCCAAATTCCTAGTCATAATTAATGATTCGCGGTATAATCACGAAGATGCGCAGTAACGTCATTTTTCAAACTCATTTAGATATTCTTCTACGGCGTTACAGGACGTAGAAGAACGAGGTTTTACATAATCGGTCAAAGGCGGAAACGATCGGGTCGCTTATAAACGATTTCTATCTTTTTTTTAGACGCTGAAAGTTTTATCTATATCTGTATACGATTAGCTGGAACTGTTGCAACAACTTTCAATTATACGTTACGTTACAATGTAATAATAATGCAGATGATATACAATTAATTTTCTTTTCTATTTTTTAACGATACTGTAATAGGTAATAAATTAAAATTTGTAGAGAAAGTTGCTAATCATATAAAAACAATATTTTACACGCAAACATTTACCACAATTAGCACGGTGTTTTATATTTTCTCTGTCTTTTCTTTTGCTCGCCCCTACATGCATGTAACCAGTTCGGCACAGCAGTATACGCAACGTATTGCATATTCAAAGGGGCAGGCGTGATGCGGGAATATTTAAACTGTTCTCCCGGCCTAAAAAATCGACGTTTTTAAAAGATTGATGAGTTGTGACATAATTAGATTAGGAAGATCAAAAGTGATAAGCGGTGTTAATGATTACAGGTGGTAGGAAGGCAGCAGTACATTGTACGACCGATGGTAATGGACGAAAGTTGCACACCTGGAACCGGTAGCGACAATCCGGCGGTTGCCGGAAGTAGCGGAATCATCAGCGAAGCAGCGCTGGCGCATGCTCCGACGTTAACCGAAAGAACAGTTCGAGAACACGGCATTTCTTTGGAGCAAGCTATCAAACAGGTAATTGCGGTTTTACTGTGAGGTTTCACGAAAGTTTTCAAGTAGTTAAAATACGTGACCCAAAAATGATTCTATTGTTTTCCTGTCTACATTCCTGACAATAAGTAATACAAAACTTTGAACAAACGGTTAATATTGAAAAATTACTATAATATTTAACTTCTTTAGAGACAAATTTACAGTACCCCTGAAGAAATTTCCCAACGAACCCTTTGTAAAAATAATCCTCTCAACTGAATGGAGAAAAGTTTTGCAGATGTACATATAAAGGATAGTGAGTTTTAAACAATTTCATTTTTAATGAAAGTTCGAAGCATGGTGGTCATCCATGTCGTGCGTGACATCCGGTTCCGCGCCACGTTTCGTCGTAGACGGCCAGGCGCCTATGAGGCAATGCTTGCATCCAGAAGCGTGCAACAAAGAAATCGACCTGCCTGAACATTACACCCTCTTTCATGACCTCCGTAAGGAATTTGTTGCCTGTTATTCCACCCATGGAGAACTCGCGACGCTTGGAATACAGGAGATGCTGGAATGTATCCTTTTACAAGAGACATTCAAAATTATCATCACCATTTCATTTTCGTCAACGCGATCGCTAAGCGCTTTTAGTTAAGTTACAAAAAGACTCGAATGAATTACGAACTTTAAAAAACCGGTAAGGAATGAAAAGGCATATCATTATTTAAATTTCATGCATATTTTTGCTAAATCGCAAGGATAATTTTAGATATTTGTTCAGTCGTCACGCGGATAGTATTTGATGATGAAAGTTAAAAATATGGTTATCGATGTAAAAAGAATACTTTCGCTAGCTCTAGTTAACAAGTTTAATTTTCGAATGATTTAACTCGGAATGGCGGAGCCGGGTCAGTCGTGACCTGGACTTTTGAAGCGTGTTATGAAACGATGCTTTGTTGGAAAAATATCGCGTGAAGAGATAGTAGAAAATTTAGAAAATTGGAAATTGTAAAATTAAACTTAAAATTGTAAGTTGGGTCAGCAAAACGCTGGCTTCGCCGTGCGAGTGACTTGAGGGGCGACGTGACGACTATGGTCGAAACGAAGAGAATTCCAAGGCGTGCGGCCGTTAGGCGGCGCGACAGAAGTCGAATCCAACATATTCGACGAACCTGACGACGAACTAGCTGCTGGTGCAAAGTCAGTCTGCAAGCGAGTGCAGAGAGTGCCTATCGAGGAATTAACGCTCTTGCGGTCTACCAATATATCTCGCCACGACAAATTAGTTGCCTTTTATCCGTGTTGTTTTCCCTTTAATTCAGACTGTGACAGTGTTCATTTATATTTGTTCCTTCGTTCCACGAATACAACGGAAGCTATTTCTAACTTATCACTTTTTGAAACATATTACAAGGTACGTTTTCCTCTTGGTATTTATGAGCGTTAAAAGAATTTCCCTGTAAAACTGTTTGATTTCACTTCATTATACATTGTTTCTTATTCGGTGACAAGGTTCTTGTTTGCAAGGAAACGATATTTGCAATCATCAAAACCCGCGGTAGAAAATTCTTTTACCATTTTTTATCATGTTGCTTTGCTGTCTCTCTTTAATCAATTAATTCCGATAAATTGAAAATACATGTATTATTTTCAAGATAATCCTATCTATTGTAAACAAAAGTACATGGAAATGGGTAATTAACGTTTCCAGCCGCTCACTCGATATCGCGTGCTCAATAGTCAACGCTTGAACCCTGCGGCATACAGCGAGTGACTTGCTTTTAAAACTCCGCAACGTGTAAGGCAAATAAGTATTAAGAAAGCGGCTATAAAAAACACAGTAAAATATTGCATATATGCAACTTCGAGTATTAATGGGTTAATATACATTCATATGTATAATACATCTCATTATATATTTTTTTTGCCTTGGTATTAAAGACAAAAAGAAGAAGAACCGGCTTTACAACTGTGTATACATCGTTTCAGTTTTTTCCATGTTCTTTTGCATTTGCATGAGAAGGTGTAGATATTTCGTGTCTGTTAAGCGAGATTTCATCCAAAAGATGAAACGATTCTTTCACAATGCATATGATTACCTATCGTCGATTTAATCCAGCCTCGATATTAAGCTCGTGTGGAGATATGTATATCACGATTGTTCCACTTTGCACCGGTTGTGCGGTCTGCAGTGTTAATGAAACAAAACCACCTGTGGCTGCCGAGATACACAATATACAGAAATATCGATCGATGCCAGTGTCGTGTCAAGATCAATCGACTATTTTAATTTCATATTATCTGGACTGTGAAATATTTCTAATAAAAAGTAAATGTATTTGATTAAACTCGTCAGGAAGTATCTCGCGAATACACAGTTCAGATCATCTTAACCCTTCCGATCCGACGTTGATACAATAGGTATACAAATTTTTCGTACGCTATATAAACTTTGATTTGTCCAATTTTCCTCGAAGTTTATTGTACGAAGCTTCGAGATATGATAAATAATAATTGGGAAACTAAAATCTAATATTACAAATATCTTGGGAGTCATGATAATTTATATAGGTATGTAACGAAATTTTTATTTGCTATGGAAGACGTCGGATCGGTGGAGTTAACCCTATAAGATTCGTAATCTTTTTAAAGACAGATTTTTACCACGTACAGTGTTTGTCTTTTCGCGCTCAACACACCTGTAGCTATTCTTCTCGACTTTTACGTGCACACGGAATATAAAAGAAAGGAACCGAAGGAAAACAGATGAAATCGAAATACACGACAGTCAATATCAATATCGTGTGACTTAAGAAAGTCCCACCAAGTGGCCAACGCAGTCTTATCATGCGCGGAACACGGTTTAAAGGTCATTCTGGTGGAGATATTGGTAACAGGCTGACGATAATTATGCGCGTAACAAGTTCGTTAGGTTTCTCGACATATTTTTAACTATTCATCCTTTATTCATGATTACGAGCGGTTTTAATCGTTTTCCTGATAAATTTCTACCTCCACGATCAACTCATTATCTAATCTAGATTATTTAAAAGCAAACTGTACTGTCGAATGTAAAAAGGGGTGTCAAGGTAAAAATTAATTATAAAAGTAATTAGCAAAGTAATTATGCAGTTTATGCAAAAAAAAGATACGAATGTCCTGAGACCGTCCTTGACATCTAACAGTACAATTCTTGTATCGATACTAGATTCGATAATGCTTCGATACATTTTACGCTCTTACGTAAAACCGTCGATTATCGAAATTTATATTTCGTATGATCACGATTATCAATTTTAAATCAAAATTTATCCTTAATCGAACTTAAATTAGATTTCGGTTTGCCACCGGACACCGAGAACGAATATCATGTAAAAGAGATACAGGATATGATCTGTGTGATACAGAGAATGATTAAAGATGGTAAGTACAAAATGGCGTGTCTTGACGAATTTTTCGTGCGGGTGAAATGTCAAAAAGTATTGACGAAAATGATCGTTCAATTTATTTTTATAACGCACAGCGACTGTTCTTTCGTTTTTTTTAATTACCGAGCAAGTGTCGCGTAAGTACGAGCAAAAAGTAGTCTGTAATAATGGCTCGAAGATTAAGGTCCACGTACGATATACTATCTCTCTTTTGGATTGTACACAATCAATGAACGTGTACATACGTGACGTTGCGTTCGACACTCAGTTTAAACACAGTTCTAACTCTAATCGTGATCGATTCGATTTCCGATTACACTTGGAAAGTAAAGAGTATACAAAAAGATACGGGCTTACAAAATGAATCCAATCCTGCCTCTTAGTTTCGTTTGAACGGGCACGTGTCTTTCTTTTTTTCATCCGTAACGAACAAGGTCGCGAATCTTTCAAGGCGACATTTTTCAGTGAAGGAAGAGTTCTTTCTACGTAAAGTTATGCCACGTTAAAAAAGAAAGAAATGTTTAACGCTTCTTCGTTCTTCAAGGAAAACTTAGTTACTTTTCATTGGATGCTTGTAATGCTATTTGAAACATGTTCGAATTTGCAATTATATGCAACAGCGTGGCAGTCGCTTTGACTACAAATATGAAATTCTATTAGTTTCTCATTTACGTTCTGAATAATTTAACGATTTATTATTGCTTTCAAGCATTTACGACTACCGTTAGAATTACGTACCGAATTTTTACATTGTAAATAATTTATATTCGAATACGAATGTAAAAGAATGAAACGTTTTCACATTTCCATCGACCCGTTCAAAATCGTTCCGTTCCAAATTCTACCTAACCCTGCTCGTGTTACACACAAACGAAGAAAGGTTAGCAATTGCAAAGGGGACAAAAAGGGAGAACGAGAGGATAGTAACGAAAAGGAAGACAGAACAGCGTAGGTCTCAGGTCCGTTCCTTTGTGTGTGTGTTGTTCATGGTTTATGAGTACGGGTCAAGCTATGTAATGCTATAAGCAGTGACGGCCATAATACTTCTTATCACAGTGGTGCTCAGTTCGAAGTAATGTTTCATTCGAATAAATGTATACGTTGTGTGCTACTGTCAAATGCGTGCGCGCCTTTTAACAAGCAATAAACGGTTGTTGCCTTTTCGAAGGCACGTACGCTCGTTCATCAACAGCATTTTTTTTATTTTAGTCACATCTTATTGATTTTGTAAATTTGTCACTTTCGTTTGTTAACATCAAAGCATTATCATTGGAACGTATCGAGAGGAGTAGAAATAACGATGAAAGAAGGAAGTTTCGGTTCGCGAGGCATGAAAATTCTTTGAAAGGTGTGCTGACACGTTGCACTGAGTAGGCAAATTGAAAGTTGAACATTTTGCACCAGCACGAGAAATCGGAGACAAACTGGTCGGTGTATTATTACAAAGGAAACGCGTTAGCGATAGAGACCTCGGAACTATGTGATCATATTTTGCGCGGGAAAACTGATTTCAAAATTTTTATAATAACGGGTACGTATAAATAATGAGAAAGAAAGAGAAAATTACGCTTTGGTAATTTAAGACGAAACGAAATTAATTTTACTGATGAATCTACTAAATTAGTTAACATATTTTATTCGTTTTAAAACGTATTGTTGGTACAACGATCTTCGTGTAATTGTCCTGTAATCGGTTTTCGGATCGAAATGAATCATGGTCGCAATCAAGCATGGGCGACATCGACCCCTGAGGTTAATCATGATCTTATACCTTTTTGTACCATTAAAAGTATTATTTTCTTATATTAAATACATTTTTGTTTATCATTGATGATATTTTGATTGCAGGGCACATCTTCCAAAATCCTGAAGTAGTTAATATTATTTTAGAACCTGGTATATGGTAAGTTATGACTATTATTTGTTTGCTATAGGATTATAAAGTAATATGTGTGAAATTCATTATGTTGATTTTGTTTGTTCCTAGCTCAAAAGATGAAGAGGTTGATAATGGCTGTGTAGTAAGAGCACGAGGTCTTCCTTGGCAATCTTCTGATCAGGACATAGCAAAATTTTTTCGGGGCCTAAATGTTGCCAAGTAAGTGAAACTTGCGTGTACTAGGGGGTAAGGCTAAGATTGTATAAAATAAGTTGTAATAACTGTTACGGTATTTGTGCACAAGCCACTTGGATTCGTGTAAAAAAGGTAAAGACTCATATTTAATACATAAATAAACTTATGCTGCTAATATCATCGCCAGATTGTATTGGATGATTATACAAATGTAATATAATAATAGTGTTTATTTTGCGCGAGAAGTAAACAATATTTTTAAATATTTTCTTGGTTGTTTATATTTGTCTTATGCAACGATAAGAACTATCTGGGGTCATGAATCTTATGTGTGATACAAATTTACCAATGATTTTCACGATCATTACTGTGTAATATTGTATTCATATGCAATAATCTTAAAACTAGAAAGTGCACTGATTTTGATTATAACATAATTTTAGTGGAACCTTTTAATGTTTTTGTAGGGGTGGTGTAGCTCTGTGTTTAAGTCCTATGGGAAGACGTAACGGCGAAGCATTAGTACGATTTGTTAATAAAGAACACAGAGACATGGCACTGAAAAGACACAAACATCATATGGGAGGGAGGTACATAGAAGTTTACAAAGCATCTGGAGAAGATTTTGTAGGTGTTGCTGGAGGAACAAGCGGAGAAGCTCATGCATTTTTGTCAAGAGGAGCTCAAGTTATTGTAAGAATGAGAGGCTTGCCATATGACTGTGTAGCCAAACAAGTGGTATGTATTAAACCAGCAGCAAAAAGTAATCTTTTTTTATACGTTCCACCGTTATTCTTCATTTTATGCTTGCATTACTTTTTCCAGTTGGACTTCTTTTTGACAGGGCAAAAGCCTTGTCACGTATTAGACGGAGAAGATGGGGTTTTATTTGTAAAGAAACCAGATGGTAGAGCAACCGGAGATGCTTTCGTTCTTTTTGCAAAAGAAGAAGATGCTGTGAAGGCCTTGAGCAAACACAGAGATTGCATTGGCAGTCGATATATTGAACTTTTTCGAAGTACGATCGCCGAGGTGCAACAGGTGTGTGCGCATACAAATAATGCGGGTATAAAAGTAGAATGGAAGGTGTAAAAATAGACATTACTAACGTACGTATTGATTTTTGTTACTCGTAGGTTTTGAACAGGGCGATTGACCCAAAACAGGTGGTACTTCCGACGCCACCCATTCCGCAGCTTCCTCCTATACTTCCACAACACATTATCACTTCCGGTACGCGTAAAGATTGCGTTAGATTACGCGGTCTGCCTTACGAAGCTCTCGTAGAGCACATTCTCGAGTTCATGGGCGAACATTCTAAGAATATCGTCTACCAAGGTGTTCATATGGTTTACAATGCTCAAGTACGTATACCTCCGCCTATTATGTTACATTGCCTTGTGTTTTTGTGAATAGGTAACTAACGTACGTTCATCTTTATCTGTTCAGGGTCAACCTTCTGGCGAGGCGTTCATTCAAATGGACAGTGAAAGTTCAGCGTACGCGTGTGCTTCGCAAAGACATCATCGGTACATGATATACGGGAAGAAGCAGCGATACATCGAAGTGTTCCAATGCAGCGGGGACGATATGAATCTGGTATTGACAGGTGCAGTAACTCCACCGTCAACCAAGGCTCTGCTATCACCCGGTACGTTGACCACACAAAATCCCGCAACATTGACACATCCGCCTCCGCCGACACCGGTACCGGTACCGGTGCCGACGGCGCAGCCACCCCTCTGGGACATTCACGCGTTAGTACAGGCTCAAGCTCAAGCACAGGTGCAGGCTCAAGCGCAGGCAATGCGAAACCAAGACTTTTGGCTAATGGCGTTAGCCTCGAATCCACCACCTACGTCCACCACTCCCGCCTCCCCAACTTCCTCCGCCACGACTAAGACGCTAGCTCTTCCCGGACACAATCATCAGCATCAACTTCCTGCCTATGCCATGGCACCACCATCGGCAGCTGCAGCCGCAGCGGCTGCTGCTGCGCTTCATGCTCAGCAATCCGCGCCGGCGCCTTTCTTACTTTTCAATGTTCCCTCACGCATTCCCATTTTACGCGCACCAACGCCTCATGGTCTGTTGACTCCTATTGTTCAGGCTGCACCTATCAATCCGGCTGCTATTATGGGACTAAAGAGAACTTGGGAAAGTGCTTTCCCACCCGATACACAGAGTACTGTCGCGAAACGCGCCACGTGGCATACACCGGCGACCGCGTTCCACGCGCAACCTCCAACCGCCGCACCAGGTTTGCCTTATCCTGCTCAATTTTATCCACAAATTTGATAGATCGAATCACTGCTACTTACAGCAGTTGAAACGAACCAGATGAGACTTTGTACGTTCTCTGTGTCAGCTGAATTTCTCAGCCGACTAAACAAGAAAAGTCCAGTGTCCGTAGTTCGTTCCATCGTATCTCTATTCATGATCCTTGCAACGAGAGGTTGTGATTTTTAAGACATTTATTTCTTATGTTGTGTTATTACAACAGACCATTTATTTTTCTACGAGTGTAGAGAGTACATGCTTTTATGTTTATTATAGTTTTAAACGACACATTCCATATGATATTCCGAGCAAACTTCTTTTATATCGCTACATCAATACCATCACCGTTTTGCCTTTTGCCCTTGAACCCTTCCTTGAGTGTACACGTAATCGTTTCAGAGTTGTTTTCCATCTTGATACTTACATTGAGCAACAGTACTTAGCGTGTTTCTATAATATATGTTACTTTTTTACGTAACATGCAAGTGTTTTCGACGGTCACGGTACTTTTTAGAGAATACATATATCACGGTACGTGATCGTATCTATATATATATATTTTTTTTTTGTTATAAAGGCCCTTGTGTGGCGTATAAGAGTAATTCCTCTCGCATAATCACACAAGAGGCGCAGCAAAGTGCCTTAAACGTAAACGCGACTAAGGACTTTATTTTTCTTTCTTTTTTTTTTTTTAGAAATTCGTGATTTATATGCGTATGTAAATATATACATATAAATTTATATATATATATACAGATATCTAAATATAGACGTAATTAAATTTATACATAAGAATGATTTATATATATTTTGCTAAAAATATTTTTATTAGCGTGTAAGTAAATGGACATTCCATCCACTGTTATGAATTTTCTTTTTAAAATCTATTCTTTTTTTCGACGAGTAATTCCTTCCTTACGCGGCATCTACTTTACGCACGTCTAAACGATAAGAAAATTAAAATTACAAAATGAGCCTGCACTTACATTGCAGTTTCAAGCTGAATGTATTATCATATTTGGTATGCAACTGCAATGCGCGCGAGCTTCCTGAGCCGATGGGCAGTCCAACGGGATGGACAAATTGCCACGACGAAGATTGACAAATCCATTTCTAGCCCTCATCACATTCCCCGAGAGGCGTTATTAACACGCGTATCTGTGTCGCGTTAATTAATCACAGAGAATGGTACTCGAACTTCATACAGGATAACCGATCCGAGACTGTTTTTACCTGAACGTTCTTCAGTAGTGCAAGTACCGTTCCATTAAATGGATAGTTGCGTTGACGTTACGAGGGTTTGGTAAACGATACAAGGCATAAGAAAGAAGTAAAGATTGTCTGTAGCTTTTGCTGTGAATTAATTAATTAATTACCATTTTTTTCTCGTGTCAGTATCGTTTGCCAAGCCTTAGGTAGCTTGTGATGTTGTTTAACTTGGTGTCGGCGGTGTTCACAATTCTCGACGCTCTTCCACGGCCTTAATAATATTTGTGATAACGTGTAGTTGGTGGAAAAACGAGAACTGCTGCAGAAGAGACGTGCCGAGAGGCCGATATTGAGTGTACTTTGGAAACAACATCGTTGTATACGTTTCGCCGTCGAACGATGATCCCTTTAGTTTTCTTACTGTCACGGCTATAAAAAACAAGAGCTTGTTAACATACAAATGTCCATGTAATCGCGAGGTTCGCTTTAGCCTTTCGTCCTTTCCACTTTTCTTTTTTTTTTTTGTGTGTTGGTTTTTTCTGTACGCTCGATCTCGGTGTTTTAACCCGACGTGTGTTGTCGTTGATTACGACACGACTTTTTCTTGCCACGTTTTTCCTTTTTTCTTATATTTATGTATACACACTCAGATAGTATAATATACAAGGTGTTTGTGATCTAGTAGCATAACCGGACTGCGGATAAATCTACATGAAAGAGTGATATTTTTTTAAAAAGCCCGCCATAATTTGGGGAAACGTGTGGCGCCGTCTGCTGTTTGGTGCTAAAAATGAGCTTTTCGGTATCGCCGATAGGGAGCGCAAAAAATACATTAATTTATAGTTCTCTTTATTAACATCGGAGGGCGCTATTGGGCGGTCTTTTTTAAAATTTAAAAATGTCGAACTTTTTCATGTAAATTCATCTTCCGGGCTGGTTATACCACCAGACCGGAAACTCTCTGTATGTGATACGTGTACAAGTAACGTGATAACGAAAGGAATTGTTCGACCACGGTGAAACGGCACGAAACGCACAATTAATCGTATTAAAGTCCACGGGCATAGAAATGACTGGTTTGCATGTCGTGGTTTTGTGGAGGGACGTGCATACAAGTACCTGTAATATCTTTTCTCCGTTACCTTCGTTCGCGAGACGAGAAGATTACATAAACGCGCTTTTTTTTTTCTTTCCCTTTAGTACGTAACTAGACGTTCATTATATACGTTAGTCGATCTTCTTGTTTTTAATCTTCCAATCGTTATTTCTTTCTTTCCTCCTCAATCGTTTTACATTCCCTGAACTGCCAATAAATGTACACCTGCCCGTTGATTATATTAATTAATTCAAGGGATAAGTGTACGTTTCTTGTAACAATTTTCTCGTACTATGACGCGTAATCCTATAATATTCTCGCACAAAGCCTCTCTCTGTTTTCGACAGGATACGGTAGCGTGTTACATAGAATCGTGTAGTAGTACCTTGGTATACACCTAGTCCTGTTTTGTTCGTTACAATTGCAATGTAAAATATGCACGGCACTCTATACGAAGCAAATTCTTATTTCAAAAGCAAATTTAGATAAATATAATGACGAGCCTTCAGTATTTGAGCCGTGCACATTTTGTATTTCAATCTTACAGATGTAACTCGAGAATCGGGTATTATTGCCTGCCGATATTATTTACATCGGGATTACGCTTCCTGATTCGGCTTCACATAGCATTAATAGACATCCTAGAGACTAGATTTCGCCGGGACGATGCGAAATGGAGCCATATATCCATTTCGCATCCTCCCTATGGGGCCGCATTTTGGTGTGTTTTATAACGTGAATAAACAAATGTATCGGTCGAGAATGTCGGGAAGCTTTACATGTCTCAATTTGCTTCGTTCGTTCCGTACACTTTTTGATCAGTATGAAACTTTGCTCGAGTATATTAACTCTTCCAGCACGATGATGGCCTATGAACGCTCACATATACGACCATATTCCAATAGAATAATAATTTTCATAAGTTTTCGCAGCTCTAGAATATAGGTTTTTAATTTTATATTCACAGTCAGATTTTCAGCTGATCCTCGCACCGGAAGGGTTAAACGCAAATGTCCCGACACTCTCGACTCCCGCACAGGTTCCTCTATTCGATATACTATTATGACTATCAATAACTGCGGCCTGTATGGTGTACGTAAGATGCGCATTCTCGTACGAACGAGATACACGTGCATTGGATAACGTTATGCATCAATAGACCAAGTGACTAAGAACGAGTCTATTTTGGTCTGCTGATGTGTAACACAGTGATACTGCTCCCAACAGCGGCAATAAATCATTCTAGCTTCGCTATTAACCCTCTGACCCGAGTCACAATCGTAGCTTCGAAAATGATTAGAATTTGGAGCTGTAGTTTCGTTGATTACATTCATTACATTTTCAGTGTCGGGTCGAAGGGGTTAAGTATGTCGCAAATTAATTCCATTTCTTCATCGTAGAGCCGCTTGATACTATTGATGCATAATGTCGTCCGAATTTTGTGTATTACCTGCCATTAGCTTTCGCTGGGCACTCACACGAGCCGTATTATACACTTATCCTCCACATGGTACAGTTACGCGCAATGATCTTTCTTTACTGAAGAGAAAATGTAGAAAGTTGTTTCCTATCATTTGTCTGATCCGATTTTATTTCTTATGGCAGAAGGGGTAAATGGTTGGTAGGGTACTAAAGTCTAAGTTACACCGGTAGATTAAATAGTACGAGTATACTAGCGCTATCCACCTCTAGTATACTTCGAAGGGTATCTTCTACATTTCTCTTTAACTAAGAAAACCTTTAATTGCCCATTACTGTACAGGTGGAAGGGCAAGGGAGAGAGTGAGTGAGAGGGAGTGAAAGTGAGCAGGGAGAGAACGAGTGAGAAATGTAGCATTTACTTAGACTGTATCGTACTAACTCTCCAGTGCTCGTCACCATTATCAAAATTATCCCTCTCATCCGTTGAATGTGTTGTCTGGTATCTTGTGATCCGCTAACCTGGTGACTGACAATGTGTCGTCCCTCTTTTGCAAATTACATCTTAATTAATCATCATCTGAATGTCAGGTAAAGACTCGGAACGCAATTTCAGAAGTCTCTAAAAATTATCGAGAAACGATACGCATAACGAGTTTACGGCTAATCGTGATTGTCCTGGCGAAAGTTAATCATCAGGCACGTTTTCGTGCATACTTGCTCGCGATGTAACGGGATTATGTTCAATTATCGATTGCGACAACTTTTCTCACTTTTATTTTTCTTTTTTTTTTTTATTTTCTATGTTTCTTTATCCCTCCCTCCACTCGAGTTACGAGAAAACGTGTTTTTCCGATTGCGTTTCACCTATACTGGGATGTAGGACATTCACGCACACACACACTGACCCAATACACACACACACACACACATAGAAGTATATATACCGATCTTTTTTTACCCCTTGTATACACACTTTTTTTCTGTATATCGACGATTATATATCGATGGTGAATCGATCATGTTTAATAAATGTGCCTTGTGGACATACATATCTTTTTGCTTGCCGGGTTGGTGGACTCTTACCCTGATTATATTACCTCGCCTGGTGGTGGTAATTTTCGCGGGCATTCATATTTTATCAATTACAGTTCTAATTTTTTACTGTGACACGCTGGTAAGTCTACATACGAATATTCAAATGATTCAAAGTAGTATCACGAGATTTTTAGTTTTCATGTATGTCTGTGAAAATTATGATCACCATCACCTTGTTACGTTCTATACATTTTTTTTCACTGGGCTCGCAGGTATCTTTGGTGTCTACAGATCAAGTTGGAGATTTATGTGTCGTAACTCTTGCCTCCTTCTCTCTATTTCCTCTGGCTCACACAGGTTCTCTCTTTTATCCTTTTAATCTCTCTTTCTCTCTCTTTCTCTCTTTGTTGCTATATCGCTATCTCTCCCGCTCTCTTTGCCTTATATTTTGTGTATCATCCACTCCAATCGTTGGGTCAATCCATCCCTTTACCCTTTGGTTCCATTCCAAGGGACGATCACGATCCCTGAAAAGCATAATAATTTTTGTGTCAGCATTAACATAATGTCTAACATTGGTTTAATTTAAAAACAATGTGACGAATATGAAACATTTAATTGAACGTGATCAGTTCCTATTCCTTAATTCCTCTAAAAATCCAAAGAGAAACCTCGTGATCCTTTATAATTTTTGCAAACGCCTCGATTCGATGCGAATCCTCGTAGCAAAGCGAATACGGTGCGAAAAATTAGCGATACAGTAACAAGCTTTGCAATATGTGTCGCTAATTCTCATTGTTACTTAACAATTTTTATATGTTACATGGAATATGATAAAAGATGCGATAACCTTGATCCTTTGTTTCATACGAGGCTCGCACGGTGAAAGGCTTCTAATTCATTGAAAAAAAGGGAGATGGGAGAGTAAAAGGGAGATAGAGAGAAAGAGAGAAGATTTGAGAGAGGGAAGCAAGAAGAGAAAAAGAGAGAGAGTGAGAAAGGGAGAGTCTGAGTGAATTTTTGGTGATTTGGCAGAGGGGCGAAATCGCAAGTTGGTGCTACATATATATAAAACATACGTATATATCGTGTTACAATGGTGCAGTGTCGATTGCTGTTTGGTAGCGGGATCTACAAATACTAACTTCTGTGCTTCCAGGTAGGCCAAGTCCAAATCATTATTCCTTTGGATGGCGTGCTTTTACATGGTCCGAGCGAGTGTCTGAAAAATAATAAAATACTCAGAGGAAGACAGACTTTTCATTTAATAAACCAAAAAAAAAAAAAAAAAAAATTAACGTGTTTCGCATGGACCGTGGAAAATCGTCATATTAATCGTGAAATCGTGCAGGTAACGGGAGTACGCATACAAGAATTATACGATTCAAAATTATTAACAAAGGAGACGAGAATGCGTTCGAGTATTCTTCTGCACGATGTCATTGACCACGATACGTGGTGTGGTTACATAGTTGGGCACTCTTCTTACGTTTGTACATACATAGAATCTCTGGGTGTTATTAGAATTTTTTTTATTCTTTTTTTCAATCAGGAAATTATCGATTCGAGCAAGTTGTCGCGATGAGAGTATCATACGTAATACCTCAGGCTCTTATTAAGAAACCATAATGTTTTTCTTTTTTTTTTACATTTTGTTCTCTTCCGTAGTCTGTCTTAAAATTTCTTTTTTTTTTCTGGTAAAGGAGTAACTCAGATTTTAGTAGAATGTTATTGAATTAATTTGATCGAACGTTGATTGTCTTCCTTCTTGTTCTTCCATCTAGGAGGCACGATGTTGCCACCACCACCGGTCGCTATATTTCCACCTGCTGCTGCGATGCTACCACGTGGACCACCACAGTTTGCGGCACCTTATCCACCTCCAATTTTTTATTGGCCTTATCCCTCGCCACCAGTCAGCCCCACTAATTATTATAATCCGGCGAACGTTGGTGGTATCGCGGCGATTCCTCAACAAGCGGCATTGGTAAGTTCCAATCATTATGAATCTTTAATCCTTTGGATCCTGTGGAGTTAATGTTACGTTAGTGTTAACATAATTTTCATATAATCTCGTTTTCAGTTAACTCCAGCCGAATGCTTGCAATTAGCACCAGGGACAACGGTACCTGCGACGACCACACCAACGGCAGATCAACGCATAGAAGCATTCCTCCCAAGAATGGAGATGGAGAAGCGTGTACCTCTTCCTGCACCTCCACAGGCAGAGTGCAATCCATTCGTCGAAGTTTTCATGGTGTGATCCTCGACTTGATCCGCTTTGAACGCTTGTCGCGTTGATTTTTTTGGCAAATCCTTACCCTCGCACGATAAAAATTGAATGTTACGTCTTTTCTGCTACTCGCAAAAGAGTACCGTGTTCTTGAATGTGCGTAGAAATCTTCAGCCTCATCCTTGAGGAACCAAGTCTCGAGAGGTATTCAAATCCTGCAACAGGATTTATCTTTCTGATCCTCGACGGAAGCCCCCTTACCGCAAATCTAACGTGCCACTCGGTGGCACGTTTCTTTCTAGTCTAGAGACAGATGCAAGTCGTTGTAGCATAGCACAGTGACGTCGTTTCCTTCTCGCTGTTTGTTTCAGTTTCTCTGGAATTAGATGAACCCTCATTATTCTTGGGCCTCGATTTTGCAATTCATTTGTTACGTTTCTATTGTCGTCGCTCTATAGAACTGTATCTACATTGTATATCATTGTCGTTTTGTTATATAATATAGGCACAGTCTTAGGTAGTTGATATTTTGAAACGTTACTAGACATTCCACGTGCAATTGACCAGAGAATTGGATTATCTAGCTGTTCTAATAACATGAAGGACCCGAAATAAATGATGTTGATCGTTTGTGACTAGGCCAGCTAATTTGGTGATCACAGCATAAACGATTTGAAATGTGTTAACGACGTAATTTGTACAAACTTCTTGAATATCTTGTTCCGAGTACCAAGCTGTGTTCTTGCGCTCGATTGTGTTGACCACTTTGCTCAACACGAAGTAAAAATAGTTGTAATTGTTGAGAAAAAAGAAAAAAAAAATGAACGCGTAATAGCATGTCTATTTTAAAAATTTTAATTAATTTAATTTAAAGTTTTAATATAAAAATTTAATGTATAACTTTATCGCTCATCGTTGCTCGAACGAGGTACGTTGTTACTCGTTGATTTGCTGTAGATTTCAATTATTATTAATATTATTATTATTACTATTATTAATATTAAATAAGTTATTCGACTCCAAAGTGACGTCTGATGTTAGCTTTCGGTTTGCTTGAATCGCTGTAGGAAGCTAGAAATCGCATAGTAATGCGTTTGTAGTTTTTCATCATCAAATCGTGTCACCTAATGATATACTTCAAATCAATTTTCTATTTCAGTTTTAGGTATCTCGATACATTACCTAATCGCAGTTCATTCCGTGCACTTTTGATCAAAGTCAAATTGAAGATATCATTCTTCAATGCTTTTTGGGAATATTCATTTTTATGTTCCTGTTCCTTTAATGGCGCTCGTGTATGTACAAAGGTGCAATTTTAGATGTAAAAGAGTAGCGTTTGAAAAGTCAGGGTGACTTTAGAATTAAATGCATTCGATAGAAAGATACTTTACAAATTACCTTATATTTTAAACGTGTTTATCGTAACCCAGATATATTACACGTGTAGACAAATTACATAAGTATATTTACAAATATTACGATTAGATATTCAAATGAACTCGAATAATCGACGTATAGTTGTAATTGACAATGTACGTTTCGATTTCATAATATGCAAATTACGTGACATCATTTGATTTTTAATTAAATGAATGCTATTGTGCGTATATAAGGCATAAAATTAAGAAAGAACGAAAGATTATATTGAGAGAAATATTTTTAAAGATGAGTTATCGAAACTCTCGATTCAAACGTACCTGAAGTTGTCTATTTGAACGTACGCGCCAAAACTAATACTGTCAGTGACACGTGATTTGTTGTATTTTGTTCAGCGATTCCTGTCGCAATAAGAAGTGCAATTAAGAATTGTCGAAGTGATTAATAAAATATACGAGTGCTACGAGTTAAAAATTTTATCGGCTCGTGTATAGACGAGAGTTTACAATTAAGTGCATTAAAGAAATAAACGTATGCGTAATAGTACTACCAGGTTAACGAGCACCACGAATAAACTACTCCTGTTTCTCGTTACCGTGCGTACTGTTTTGCACGAAACTGGTGCAATAATTTATCCCCATTGTTTTTTCTTGTTGTGACGTGTGCAATAGGGATCGAAAAGGACGAGCTTCCTGTACTGCGGAATGCCAGGTGACAAAATTACTTTCGATTCATATTTTCCTATAGTTCCTTTTTTAGAATAAAGAACATAGTAACAATTGTCAAGAACTTTAGATCTTGATACGCGTTCTATGAGGATAGTTCCTAATGAAACAAGTTCTGCTCTGGAGAACAAATTTTACTAAGAAAACGCAAAATTTTTTTTTATTAAATAGATGCAAAAATATATAGACAATCCTTGGAAATTAAATCGAACTATTCCGCAGTTAGCGGAAGCGTCCGATTTGATCTCGACGTGACTCCTATAATGTTAGTCTAATAGAAAATTGTATATACATTTGTATGCCTATTTTATTATAAAATTCAATATATTTAAATGGAAACATGTTCGCGTCTGAAGTACGCGAAATAAAACAAAGTTGTTTTTTTCGTCTGTACGTGATGCCACGTGTTGCGAACACATAGAGAGCTTTATTTAAAAAAGAAAATAATAAAAAAATTAAAGTCTATCGATTGATCGTATCTGCGGTTTAAGAAAACGGCTACGACGAATAGTAATCTGATCCCGATATTTAATAATGTTATTAACGATATTAATATTAATATATTCGATATTGTTTTAAAATAGTCTTCCATTATTTATCCGTCGATCCCTTCATAATCACCGTGTCAATAATTAATTTCTCTCCATTAAATGATTGATGCAATTCATTTATTAGTTTCATCGTAAACAATTTTTCAATGTACAAGTATTAAATTAAAAAAAAAAAAACCGAACGAATATATTACGTATTATGCCGTGAAAATGCACGTGGTTTTCGGAATACTATTTTCCTTCCATTTGTAAATCTTTCTCCTTGGAAGAATACATCATAGATAGAACACCTTTGTTCATTGAGCCGTTATCATCTTAATAAATCGGACGTAACATTTTATAATTCTTTCAATGATAACAGTATAAAAAATATGAATGATTATTTTACGTCGATTCGTTGAAGGACACCATTTGATGCCTGTAGAATTCTATACATGTGCAGTGGATTGAGAAGAATTGGCACACACAGTTTCATTCTGGCAATGTTACTTAGGAATTAAAATATCATTATAAAGTGTACGCTGTGAAATATAAATGTAATGCAATATGAAAATAATTGCAAGAATGTGTGCCAATACTTCTTTCATCCATAGTATATTGCATACCTAAAAGGGCCATTTTCGCTCGTATAACAAACTTACATATACGGACGGATAATCTGTTACGATGGAATGCTTATAAAAATGTTTTCAAGGCGCTTGGTGAGATCACCATCTATAAGGAAAACCATATCCAATAATTAGGTTATTGCAAATGAATAGATATAGTTTTCCTTGATAGATCACACTTAATGAGAACCATGAGTACACTAATGAAGTTATAATGTAATTTATACTCCGATGAGTTACCTATCACAAAACATGGTCACGTGAGTATACCTCACTTGTGCGAGTATAAAACATATATACTTTTCAGCAGTCTGGCAGTGTAATATATTTATAAATATATTTTGAAAATTCGTCATTTCTCTATCTATTTCATCTGAATATAAGCACAGAATATACATACATTCGTGAAAAATATTCTAACTCGTTGTATGATATGTTCTCTGTACATATGAAATACGAGTTTACCTATTCTACTTAATATATTAGTAAATATACTACATACTACATAATTAGGTACATCATGGGATCGTGCTAAAAGTATACTCCATATAAAACGTAGAAAAAAGACTTGGTAATCCCAATTTGAATTTCACTTTGATGCTTATAAGTTAAAGATGTTCATTATATTAAGTGCCAACCGAATACTGAGATCTTGCCTTCAAACGATACTAAATCGTATGCCGTTATTCAAGTACCCTAATCGTAAGAGTTAGAAACCGGTGGGCTTAACAAAAATTCATTTCAAAGTCCTTCCATTCGCTGCACGATTTACAGTCTATCTTCAACAACGTATAAACACTTGTTACTCGCAATTCACATCGCCGTTTCCAAAGGTTGGCTTTTACTTCTCGCTCCAGCCGAAAGTTGAGTCAATTCTGTAGGCTCGTTAACTAGGAACACGTCCAAATTAGTCTCCAACAGTGCTTCGCTCTTGGAACGAAGGGGTTTCTCCTCCCCAGTATCAAGATTCGTTTCTAAAAGCGCGTCGCTTCTGGGTCTGCCTTCGTCGTAATGATAAGGATGAGGAGGTATCGGTGGATTAAAATCTGGAGCATATTCTGGAACAGGTTCAGATGCTTGACTCGGTGTCAAGGTTGCATTATCGTAACTGCGTCTTGGATCATAATCCATTGGACTGTAAGCAGCTGATGCTTCAATGTCGCGTTTTAATTCGCTGATGGAGTCGGTCAGAGCCAGGCTGGCATTCAGAGGAAGAGTGGACGTATTGTTAAGATATGAACTCTCGTTGGTAGGATCGACAGCGTGAATCTCATCCGTGGTTGTTTCTGTGGTTGACTCAATGGGCCAGTCATTGGTGCTCCTTGATGTGAACGTGGAATGATTTCTAAAACCTTCATTGCGATAAGTTAGATCAAATACTGGATTGTCTGCGCTTTGCGGAGCTCCATATTTTTGAACAGTACTTTTAAATTCGCTGGTACTTGGCGAGTATCTTGGATTGTGCGCTTCGTACACGTCGTAGCTCTGATTATCTTCCATGGATGAATTTAGCTGAGACTTGTCCATTGAATCTATGCTTCCTCCATTTAGCATTCTTCTGTAATCCAAAGACTTGGAATTCAGCGTGTCTGTAGACTGCTTCGTCTGAAATCAATATGTTCAAATTAATATGCCATAAACGCTATTCTGCAATACTCTTTTTTAATTTTTACCGCAATCGGTTTGCGTCGATAGGCGAGCTCAGTGAATCCTGAGGTAGAGCCAACTGATCGCAGCGAATGCAAGGATTGTCTGATAGAATTTCGCCTTTCCAATCTTTCAATATTTCGTCTCTTTGATTTGGATACCCAAAGTGCGATAGCAGCTGTTAACAGCGCAAGTGCTACACCTGCTGCTCCTAAAACAGCTACTGCAACAATATCTTTCCTCCACGATAGTGGATCGATATTTACTTTTGGATCTAAAATCAAACACACATACTTCTGTGTATTCTTCCCTGAGTTTCTTTATCATCGTGCTAATTAACAAAACATACCAATCTCACAAATGAAAGGACTCGGCTGAGCACAATGATCAATTTCTATGGTCTGGTAGGTGAAAGTTGTACATTGATCCACACGATCTAATTGTTGTACCCAAGCACGATCCGCATAATCGTATCGTATTTGTTGCTTCCGCAAAAATTGAAAGAGTTCTAGGTAATCACCCATGATGAATGGCATTGATGCATTTACAGACTAAAGAAAGAAATATCATTGATCAAAATAAGAAACTGGATAGTTGGATATAATGAAGAATTTAATAACTCACTCTACAAAAATCTCGTGCACTGAAAAAGTCCATGGGAGCACCAATGTATATGTAACAGGTGTCACCTACGAGATCCCACGCTGGTGGACACTTTCCATTCAGGACAGACTGATTGCTCATGTGGAAGGGTTGATAATCTACTTGTAATAACTCTGGAGAATCTCCTCTATCTCTGATTCTACCAGCCACTGCTAATGTTTCATTGTATCCCCACCAATTGTGTCGAGCATCTATGTGAGACCTCCACATTTCCAATTGTCTGTAAAATTATAAAGGATTACTATTATTCCGTATACTGCATTGTAATGGAAGACATAGAACATAATACAGACTGTGATCTGTTTGTTGTAAGCATTTCATAATCATTATCTGGATTGAAGAAGACGTTATCAACATATTGCTGGCCAGGAGTTCCAGCAACTATTGTACTGCGCCCATTACGATCCACTGCATAATTCCTGAAACAATTTTATATAATCAAAAATTCAATCTTTTATATTGAATATCGATTAAGGAAGACTCACTTGTAAAAGCCATTGTGGGATGTGCTCTGATAAATAGGCAATCGAACGCCTTCAAATCCAGAAATTTCTAAGAGATGAGCACCAAGATTAGCGTGCAAGTAATTCAAGGTCATATTGCTAACAACCTGTTTTAAGACAATGTTGTTATCATAAGGAGCATCATTTTTTGTGAAATAGTTTCTGAATATTGTAACTTCCTGGTATGGACTGCTCTGACGACCTTCTATATATCTGAAAGAGCATTGAATAAGTTCATTGTTTATTTTAACTTGAAAAATGAAATATGATTTACATACAAGGCAGGTTTATTGTAATTTTCTGCAAACAAATTATTGTGGATCCATCCTTCTAAAGAAGTTGCTGAGCCTCTGGAGTCAGCACGAATAGAAAGACCGCCTTGATTATGTCTAACTACGTTATTCTAAAATATTAAAAACAGTATTAGAAATGTATTTCATCAAAAGAGATTGTTCGATAATAATGATTTACCCTAAAGAACAAAGATTGAGTGTTTTGTACATCCAACCATAGAGCTGACTTGCAAGTAGAAAAATTGCCATAAAGTTTCTCACAGTTATTCGTGAATTGATTACGTTCAAGAGTCATTATCGCGTTCACTTCACCCGCGCTAGCATACTTGATCGCTCCTTCACGGCAGTTAGATATCACAGAATAAGAAATATTATGTTGGACATCACGATCTGAATACAGGAAAAGAAACAAGTAATATTTATCTCTACTCTGGAATTACTTCAAAATGATACTCACTGAATCCAATCGCAGAGATTGGCAGAGTAACAACTTCCGCAATAAAACCATGCACGTTGCTCGCACCGTTAGCAAATAGTCTTACACTAAGGCTGGGTCCCTGAGTTCTAAACAATTTCTTCTCGTCCAGACTATTAGCCTCTAAATGGCCTATACTCTTGGCAGTGATATTATAAATGTCTCCATCGTAGAGGATAATACTATCAGCACGACCAGGCTTCCCAGTAGAATTAAAAAGATTGAACTGTAAAAGTCTGAAACAAGTGAAATGAATATTAAACACCTGCAGCCAAATTACACAGACTGATGAAAAATGCAGACCTGAATCCAAAAGGCTTCGCTCTGTAAGCACTACGGAATATCTTAACACAATTCACAGGATGATTGTCATATTTGTAATAAACAATCACACGTTCCTCAAGAGTGATTTCCTTTGTAGTATCACATATATCGATCATGCTGAACAAGTTATAAGGAATATTGAGGTCCTTGATAGGAGTAAATGAACTTTCATCTGCCTCTCGTCCTTCTCCAGTTATGGATAGAACATTCACGCCATTTCCAAGCACGTTATTAATATTATTGAACAGCAGTTCGATCTACAAGATAAATAAAAGATCAATGAACAATCTGTAATTCAGTTGTCAATGATTGTAACTGGATACTAACTGTATGGGTTGGTGATATCACATTGATTCCATGATAAGCACTACGAGTTACATTGACATGCATTATAGTAGGAGATTTCATGATCGTTTGTAGAGCAGCTGATTTCTCAAAATGCAAAATTCCAGCACCAATGATATTAATATATTTCAAGACTGATTCAACACGTCTCACTGTTTCATGAGTAACCACGTCGTGAATACGATGCTCGTATAAATGATGTTCAAATTCGCTATTGGCGATACGTATTCCACCCCAGTAGTCACGAGTATCGTCCAGGTTTCGTTTTCCACAATTTATAAAGACGAATTGACTGTCCCATGGGCAGTCATATCGATGTCCATATAATTGACCGTTCAATCTGATCTGACAGTCTTCCAATTTTTCTTCTTTGCCAGTGCACTGAAAGATTGCGTGATACATTAAAAATTATACTCTTCGTTGCATGTTAAACGTTTCATGTTTGATAAATACCTGTAATGGTTCAGGCCAAGACCAAACGCGTATTAGAGAACCAGGATGAAGCTCGTATCGACGATCGTACGACACGTAGACATTAAGCGAATCGTGGCCCAATTGTCGACAGGCTACTTGTGCGTTTCTTTCAGTGAACCTTGTGTCGCACAAAGGTATCCATTGCAACGTGGTTTTATTGAAGAACTCCAAAAATCCTTCGTTATACAAAGAAGAACATCGTCCGTCTTTGCAAAGACGAATCGTCTCCTCGGACACAGAGATAATCTTCCCATTCCTTAATTTTGGATTCGTCGCCTCGTTATCGTGCTCCATAGGCTTCATTATAATCTCATGGTCGGGCGCACCAACAGCCTTCAAAGTACCAAGAACTAGGATCCCAACATTGGGAGCAAACTCCATAACGACATCCGGATAAATGTGCAAAGTGGCTTCAGGCATAATAGTGATATCTGAACGTATGACATAAGGTTTGTCTCTGGAGTGTATGGATAAGTTCTCTACTATTCGTCCACCTAAATTATCCAAGTCTACCTGCTGTGCGATTTGCCAGGATGCAGACACAGAAGAATCAAAAGAATCGCCGGTTAAGAAGGGTCGGTAATTAGCTACAGCGTGGTCATTCCAATCGTCGAAATCAAAGATCCTTTGTCTGCAAATGAAAGATAATATAAGACATCTTGTAATAGGGGATGGTGGAATATACTTGTTGAAATACTAAATTACCTTATCTCAGTATCATTAAAGGTACCCCACCAATTTTCTGTCACATCAACCTCATTATTAATCTTGGCTGTTCTGATACCAGCCAGTAGCTCGTAATCCAAAGAATTCTCACCGAACAGGTTTTTCTTTATCTGTACCTTTTGTATACCATGGAAACCAACAACATAGCTTGGACCATCATCGATGCGACGTGGTCCCATACCAACCAAGTCGTAGCTATTTTTTTTAATCTCATTGAAATAGAAACGAGCATCCACATTTCCTAGAATCTCAGACTGGCTATCTGCTTTAAATTCCACCATGTACACACCAGTGTTGCTCTCAATATAATTATTATTAATCCTCATCTTCTTCTCCATTCCACGGATGGAGATCAAACCAGCTTTGCAACGGTTTCCTTCGAATCTGTTGTGAGAGATGTTCAAAGTAGCAAAATGTCCATCAACTATGAAGCTAAATAGCTCATTGTTCCTCCAGGTGTTATTGCCAAAGTACAAAGTGTGAGTGAAATTCTCGTTGTACTGCCAGACATCAGGTAACAGCACCTCGAAACCACCTTTTCTATTTCTTTCAATGGTACTGTCTTGCATTATCCAATGGAAAAGATTGTTGGAGTGTCTTGCATCACGACTGAACTGATATATACCTTTACCATTATCCGTGATCAGACTATCGTTTATATGAATTGCAATTTCGGACAAGTTCGTCCGGAAGATGTTCCAATGAGGGGAATGCACATAAATAGCTTCCTCTTGATTGTGAGACAATTCACAGCCAATTAATTGTATGGTTTCGTTCGCTTTTCGAAGGAAATGATCACCGATCTCGTCTAAGTATCTATTGTAGAACGAAGCAAGGATACCCTTCCTGTTGTTCTTGATTTTGGATTTAGTAACTAGAAGTGTTGGAATCGGACCTCTCACAGTATTGCTTCTTACGTCTTGTATCGGAGCTTGAAGAGCTGTGATGACGATAACCCCGCCTCCAAGTGCCTTTGCACCGCTATCATAGTCTAAACCTATGATAAAAGAGCTGGAGGTAACAGGGAATACTGCCAAGTCCCGTTTCAATTGCCAGGTAATTTTACTGGTATCGATAAAGGTTATTTGCTCTGTGCTACGATTCTCAATGGGATTAAGCAGCTGAATACCAATAACGTATCCTGGTTTGCATCTAATACTGATACGTCGTTTAATAGGATCATCAATGACCTTAGCAGTGATTAAATACTTGGTTTCTTCATTAGCCAATTCTATATCTCTCATATAATGAGGTATGATTATTGGATTGTAAGAAGAGTCTATCATATCTGGCACACCTAAGAACCAGCCAGCGAATTCTCTTTGTTGAACGGCAGAAAGAGCAGGATTGTGCCTTATCCCTGCAACTTTATTGTTTTCAATCCTGGAATTGATAATCTCCATACCCAATTGTTTAAAGCTTATACCACTGCCACCGTTCTGAGAGAAATCACTGTTTCTGACTACGTTTACTGCATCCACAGAATATATATCAGAGTACAAAACACCTAAGCCATCTTGGAGATTGTCAATGACTCTAACGCTGTCCAGCGAGTGTCTTGCAAAGTCAATTTGCAAAGCTGGCTTGAACGAGTTCGTGGTGTAATCAAGTAAACCTGCCTTCTCTATCGTCACGAATTGAAGATCGCTTCTTTGCGCTAATGGCCCCAAACGAAGACCCGCCCATGCAGCTTCTGAACACCTAACACCAACATCATTCTCATGAGTGCAAGAATTCTCAAAGTTCTGTTCCGTTTCTGCTCGACACTTGGACAGATCATTGTCATTCTCAGTACACCTGACGTTACTGAGAACGATGTCCTCGTTGATGCCTGCATTTGGAATCTGAGAACGTTCCATCAGCCAGTTATCAGGGTCCAGGGTGAGACCTAATTGATGGCAAACGAGGGCTGCATCGCGTATCGTCCAGCCATAATTGCAAACAGTCCCCCATTTTCCTCCTACTTTCACCTGCAATCTTCCCTCAAGATTCGTTTTACCTCCGAGAAGTCGCACAGGGATGGAGTCGATTTCGTTCATCTGACTTAGACCTTCGTCCATCAGAGTGTCGTTATCCGAGTCCATCACCAGTTCTTCTTTCAAAGTGAACAAAATATCGCTGGGTCGTTTTCCACGAGCGTCCAATTTACCGGCGACCATCATCCCTACAGCTGGTGGGAAACGTAGAGTGACGCCAGGATGGAGAATCAATTTACCATCGGGCCGTACGTTGATATCACGCTCGACGATGTATTCGCCAGCGTTCAAGAATTCCAGACCATCGACTTCGCCACCGACTAAATTTGTACCTGGTGTAACGAATCGTGGAACAAAGGATGGATTTGCTATGATCGTATTAGCTCCAGGATTGCTGCTGTGCAATAGATAAGGCAGATACTCTATCTTGGCTAGATTGTATCTGTCCTTCCTGTGAAACAGCCTCTCGAATATCCTGTTCTCTTCAGCAAATCCAAGCCAATTGTAGGTGCAATTGATAACCTTACTCTGATCCTCCAAGTGGGAACCGATCTCGTATGGTGATTCAGGATTGTGCAAGATATTACGGTATACTTCCACGTTGCTCGAGGAAACGACCATGACAGCCGCGACTCTGGAACGAGGAATCAACCTGGATCTCATCGTATTGCCGTTGTCGAATAGCTCTCTAACACGATTGTCGCGCAAGAAGTTTCTGGTGAACAATAATTTTTGAACGTCACTGTATGGTGAAAGACCAACGTTCACTACGAAAGCACCACGATTGCTATAGAATTCATTGTGCTTTATGACGATATCAGCTGGCATTATATTGAACTCCTCGTAGAGAGGGTTCTTTATCAATATACATCCACTAGATTCTTCTCTGAAATGATTGTACTCAATGGTTGCTTCCAAGTTGAAAGCTGGGCTTAGTTTAATTCCAAACTTTGCGTTTTGTACAAAAGAATTGTGACCAATTTGGAGCCTCAACAAGCCTTCATTCTGTCTCCAGCTAGATTCTACTTGTAACGCTGTGTCTGCGCTGCTATTGAACCAGTTACCAGTCACATTTACATAAGAATCGCCTGTTGCATTGCCAACTAGTATACCGATATCCTTGTTTCGGAATATCTGGGAATACTCGACCACAGTGGTTTGATTGAAATATACGTATTCAGTGGAGGAGCTATCGTTCAACCACACTGCAAAACCGTAACCCTGATTCGAGGAAATGCTTGTCCGTGATATATTGCGATTTCCTCCCGTGACGGTGATGTTAACACCGTCTCCGGTGTTAAAAGAAATGCGACTACTGGTGATATTCACATCCGCGGCACCACCTGACACATGCACACCTGCTACGTGCTTGTTACTGGATACTGAAGTTTCGTGTACGTGTAGAGCGGATCGCAACTTCTCTACTGCAATTCCTCTTCCGTTATTGCCGGCTATTACGCTTCCAGTTACGTTCAGATCATACGTTTTCTCTGGAACGACAAGTAGATTATGATTAATGACGCAAAAAAACTTTAAACAGTTTCAATTGCAATGGTTATTTGATTTCTTACTGTAACCCGAAGACAGTCGTACAAAAATGATCGTATTCGTCCGTGGATCGGCAATGAATTTCACGTACAAATTTTGACGAGTGGTAGTGACACTCTGAGGAAGTGTGCCATTCTCGACTCTCACTCTGGCTAGTAGTTTTTCGGTTTCGCTTATACCATCGTACACTTCTATGAATGCACTGTTATTTCTGCTAGTCTTCATTTGCAAGAAGTGCATGGTCAGCACGTGTCCCGGTCTCGTGAATATGTGCTAAAAATATGATTGTATTCAGACATGGTTTTAATATATTAATATTTTTAAGAATATTTACCTGTGGACAGCGTTTGGTATTTGGCGCATACTTGCTCTGTTCCATGGATATTATAACAGGGAAAGTTTGACCGGCAGTTGTTGGAAAGGTGCACAAATCAAACACTTCTGTACGATCTAATTTATCATCTGGTCTTTCATCAAAATGAATATACTTAATCCCATCAGCTCCATTATATAATATAGAGCAATTGTTAATGTACGCCATGCCGGAGGAACTGTTTACATAAACTCCATACCCTGCAAATTGATAATAAGTAATAACTGTGAAATGTACCAAAGAGATAATTGTACCTAAACGATTACCTCTATTGTTCTGAATGGTGCAGTTGTTTATTACAACAGGAGCGTTTGGTGTGGTGACGTTAATGCCTGTAAAAGCAGCATGAAGGACTGAAATTGATTCCATTTGCGGTGGAACACCCTCGACATCGATCGCGGCTGTAACATTATATTCTCGGCCCGTTCCTGCGTGCCTTTTAACAGAAACAATGTTACCAAAAATCGAATATAGAGTCTTGAGGGTTTAATGGAAATACTTACTCTATTATAACGTTTCTTAAAAGTGACTTCGATTTCCTTATATAAAGAGTGTTCTCCTGGATCAGTGGACGATCGTACAAAGCCTCTTCGAAACGAATACCTCTCCAATGCTTGATCGCCTTTGTGGCCCCATCATGACGAGGCAAACACGATATTCCAAGATCAGGATGATAATCTGAAATCATCTTATTCCTTTACTTTCTCTGAGATATTACAATCTATATTATTCTAGCTTTGAAATTTACCACAGACACCACCACCCAGTTGTCTATCGGACCATCTTTCACAGCTGGTTAAAGATGTTTCCGTGCCTCTGCAGCCTGGTTGCTCATAAAGTAATCTTGGTTTCGCGGGCCATTGCCTGTCTATCCAAGACCACCATCGTCCTCCTTGGAATCCAAGCTGTCTACACGCTGTTTCTAGATCAGCTCTTGTCCAACTATAATATACAAAATGATGAAATTTGAGCTTCAGTGAATGAGTGATAAAGGAACACTTACTTTCTGGAATTCGTACAAACAGCTCTCCATTGTCCTCGATGGAAAAGCTCTAATCGACCCTCGGATGGAGTTGGCCCATCTACCAGTCGTATCGAAAGTGGAGATTCAACAGGATGAACCTGATTATTAGCTTCTGCTGCTGTTAATAAAATTGGCGCTTGTGGTTCTCCCTAAAGCAGAAAGTGCAAATGATATGTAAATCTATGCGTCTCGTTTAGTATTCGATACTTGAAACTATCATACAAATCATGATGCATTATTTAGATGTTACGATATAATTCCTCTATGACAAGATCATGAATGGTAGGATCGGTATAATTCCTGTACGCGTAGAAGGTGGAGGAAGGTCTCGTCTGGAGCGTAAGAGGATTAGCGAGGTCAAAGGTTAACAGTTCAGACCAAGAACCGCTGTTTGATCCGTGACCTGAAACGCACCGCGTGATGGAGGCGGTGCATGTAGAGCTGATTCACTCGTTCATTACTTTTACACTGTACACGCTCTTCGTATCTAGTTCTTAATCGAGCTATTAGTTGCCTCCACGTTGGGGCTTTCGTCGGGCTGCCCTCGCGGAAACACTCCGATTAGAATCCGTATACCCGTTTAAGTGGATTACTTCCAGCCGTTTTCCTTTAACCACCCTAAGACCATCTCTCTTTACACGAACAACAGCTATAAGCTCACGCAATTGTGCCTTTAATCCATTCATAATTCCTTGCAAGAATTTTCTAAATCTAGAATACTATCAGTCCATCAGTCGAAAAAATTTTGATCAAGGGCTTTGAGAACTTAGAACTTTCTTTGCCTTCCATGTTGCATACCTGCACGGAATTAGTTTGTATAGGATCTATACAAAACTTAGAAATCTAAATAGCCCTTTTCTGAGACTCCCTGTATATTGGAACCGTAATGCTTTGAGCAAATATTACCGTTCGCTACAATAGATTAGTGAAACAGTATGGAAAGACACGAAGTACAATCTTCACGATCGAAAGGTACATTTTCAGGTACTGGAATATTAATAATACTAATTCTGTGCAGCAATGCGTGTATTCCACAGGCACGATACGCTGACAGTACGTGATGCGAATAAAGCGACAATCAACACAGCTTGCGTGTTTCTGGAATTTCCGGTCATTCACCGTCCTTTGACAGAGGAGACATTCTGTCCCAATCCCTCTTCCCTTTACAGTTTCAGAGAATAAATTAGAAAATTCTCCTATATATTAGCAGATTTCGACTTCCATCTCTTCTTCCTCTGCAAAAATCCACCATTGCTCTCGTTTCGCAACAAGTTGTTACTTTCGAGCGCCTTTCCCGGAATCCATAGGAACGTAAATCATTCTTTGTTGTCCGTAAAGTCGTGAAACTTTTCTTTCTCAATAGACATCGAACCGTTGTTCTTCCGCGCGTTAAGAACCGCAATGAACAATGTTCGACTACGGGACTTAAGTAGCGCGTAACGAGAGGCGAAACGAACCTAAGGGTATTCGAGTGCCCTGGCTGATTCTAATTGCACCGGAAAGACAGATTTAAACCGGGGTATAGGGTTACTGCGTTTTTGCGGATGAAGTTTCGCGTACGTATCAGGGGTACCAGGACAATACCAGAAATCCTTTGGGTACCTGAGAGGGTGCGTACGAAAGGACAATGGCGGAATATTGGCGAATATTTCACTTCGCTGCCAATGAAAAATTCCTATAGAAGCACATTAAATCCTTGCTACTCCTGATATCATCTCCATAGAGATATTGATTCCAGGGGAAGTTTTATTCAACCACCGATAGATTCGCAATGTGATATCATAAATTGCGTAAAATTATATTATACTTCGATTTTCTTGCGCACTGTGACGAAATCTAAATGACCCTACAATTTTCTGGGAACTTGAATTATTACTGTCACTTCTGGCATGTCGTAGTAACACGTGCACAATCGTACGTCCGGATGAGTCATGTTCATTCAACGTTAGCATATACATAGATAAACGCTCATCCTTTCTGTGAATGTGTGATATATCTCTTGACTAATGTACACACATACAACTAAAAATATCCGCTCCAAAATCTCCACATTCCTACATGATAATTATTATTCTTTATTATCTAGTATTATACCAATGTAAATTTTCAAAGAATATGAAAATTCAATACCTTTTTCCTAAGTACCATTGCACCAACGTTTAATCAAACAGGTAAACGTTGGTTCTACTGTTTTTGGAATCATTACCTTCGCAGTGACGATCCCACGAACCGTGATTCCGATCATGGGACCAAACCGGATCTCCACCCCTGCTTCTATCACCAGCTCTCCCTCGCGTTCGACGAATAAATCTTCCCGCACCAGATAAGGGCTCTTCGATCTTTCCAATAATCGTTGGCCCCTAACAATTTGACCTCCGTGAAGTTCCGTAAGGCCCCCGTTTGCATTACTGTTGCTTGCATTGATGAAAGTCGGCTCGGTGTAATAAATAGAGGACTGGTCAAACCCCTCGTCCGACTGGCCATGAACGGTCAGAAAAATGAGAAACAGGCAGAGAACACGCATTTTGTCGTTACACGCTATATCTCGGTAAGATTATTTGTCGAACAGAATCCTGTACGAATCGATGATTTTTCGATTCCTTAATTCACTCGATGCCTCGCTTGATATTTTCGATGACACTTGTTGCAACATTTAGATAGATCAATATAATGTCGATTTCTAAAAAAAAGATAACGATGTTTATTTACCGATAAAACATCCACGAATGAACGATTTTTACCTCACAGGTTGAAACATGTATAATCGTCTGAGTTTTATAAATATTTCTTTATCAGATGCGTCACACGATGATTCGATCCGCAATGCGTAATCGGATCTATACTTTCACTGATTACGTTGATGTACCGATGATTACTTTTGGCGTGTCGCACGGAGAATGTCTGGACCGTGGTTCAAATATAAATTTTCGATAGTTTATTGAAATCGTCCATGCTCCATTGTAAAGATATTCTTCGGTGAATCGAGGATCACCTTTTACCACGGTTCAGTTGCATGTTTTTCAACTTAAATCACAGGCTTCACTCAAATATGCACGGGAGGATCTATGAATCCCGATCGAGACAGGCTTTCCAAGCGACAATATCCTCGCTGGCAGTACGCAAACGCGGAGGTGCACTGTATTTTAAATTCGAGCATTAACCTTTCTTCTCAACGTACTCCTTCACGCGCCAGAGATCCCAGCTCGACTGTAGCGACTCGGTTACACCGCTGCCGTTACTCTCCCGTCATGAAACCCTTTTACTAATAATCCAGAAGACGCTCCGTGTTTTTTTTACACGTTCATCTATACAGAAAGAATATGTATTCACCGTCAGATTGTTACTGAATCACTGCAATCACAATTCACAGAGGTATTTGTCTGTCTCCCAGCCAGTCAAGGTGGAAGCGTTTGCGTTACACCTCGGTGGACACTTCTCAATGGTACCAAATGATCTCTACGATTTATAGGATATTTGTAATGAGTAAAACAAAAACATGGATAGTTTTGTAGTGATTTGATGACCACCTGGCGTCACGTTGGGCGCGGTTTCACTGGTTCGACTCGTTATATTCCTGTCGTCTTTCCAGTGGACGCGCCTTACCTCGCGTCGTCCCGTAGGCCCACTACCGTACCTACCATAAAACACTATAGTATTGTTACTACTACTACTACCACCACCACCTACTAACGATGAAAGGTAAAACTTGTCACGTGACACGGTACTCGGTACGTCACGCAGGTTGTGAAACAGGTGAGTTTCCTCCTGAGAAACCTGCCTTTGTCGTTGCCACTTGGCGGTTTTGAAGTAGATTCATATTGATTCTAATAATGGTATCATGAAAATTGTACATATTAAAAATAAAGAGAATTTCGTGTCCCTAAAATCTTCTACATTGCATTAAAACAGTGGTATAGGTACCACTTTCAATCAATACTCACAATTATTAATACCTGCACATAAATGGAAACTTGTAATAATGATAGCAACATTATTGTTGATTAAGTTTTGAAGATAGTCACAGCATTATTTATTCATTTATACCTTTTAGTTCTACTTACGTTGAATAAAACACTTTATATATTATTTATTGGTCTATATTTTTACAAAAGCAATTTAAATCAATTTGTTTTACGATTCTGCTGAGTTAATATTCTGTTTTTTTATTCTAATAAATGATTTCGAAATGTGCAACGGTTAGAAATCAATTCCGATTGCAGCGCTATCTGAAAATAACGGATATCGTTTATCACTTACAACTGAGAGGACACAGTTTTGACTCTCTTTAGTTCTATTTTTTTTAAATTGGTCAAAATCAGCACAAGACTGAAAAATTATGAAATAGTTTGACAAACTTGTATTTTTAAAAAACCGCCATAAATTAAATATTTTTAAAATTCGACTCCAGCGCCATCTATACAAAAACTGCGGAAACTACTCATCAACTTACCGACCACTGGGGGACACTATCGCCATCTATTGGAAAATCGCGGAACCTACTTACTGACTAGTTTCTACAGTTTTCTGTTAGAGGCCGCTAGTATTCCCGTGTAGTCGGTAAGTTGTTGAGTAGTTTCCGCAGTTTTTGTATAGATGGCGCTGGAGTCGAATTTTAAAAATATTTAATTTATGGCGGTTTTTTAAAAATACAAGTTTGTCAAACAACTATAATAATAATTGTTCGGTCTTGTTCTGCTTTTGACTGATTTCTAAAAAAGAATAGAATCAAAGGAAGTGAAAGTTGAGTCTTTTCAGATATCAGTCTGAGGTGTGTTCTCTGTATGTAAACCTAAACTAATCTCATCTAGGGGTATCTGGGACCCCCTATGATCCCTCGAAAACAAAGTTATGTCCAGTTTTCTACAACTGTAGTCACTGAATAAAGCGTGAGAGGTTAAGTACTGGGCAATTTAGGTTATTTTTTATACTGGCAATTTTTAATTAAGTGTAATACGGTACTATTTAGTACTCAATTAGCAGTAAATTATATTAGGTGATTTGAATACAAGCACGATTACTTGAAATCAAAATGACATCTTTTGTAACTGATGTGCTGATCACAGCAGGTATATATACAAACTTCAAAACATGCAACAATACACTTAAATGTTTAAATAAATGATTATTTGTCTTTGTTTAATCATCTTTGTTTATCTTCTCTTCTTGGCCAGGGAAATTGGAGAAAGTTAATTTACACGAAAAAATATCAGAAATTCAAAAGGAAATAACAAAATTAAAATATGATGTTAAAGATTTTATGGACGATAATTATGTCAAATTTACGTCAAAACTCACGAGAGATCAACGTTTGGTATCGAAAGGTGAAAAATTACTCGAAGAGATGAATTCTTTACAAAGCAGAATAGATGATCAGGTACATAGTCAATTTACATTTGTGATTTTATGTGAATTATGAATTTTTTATAAATGTAATTTATTCGCTCCAGGTTAAGATAGAATTATCAGGATCTACAAAGGAGCTAAAGTCACTATCAGAAGCTCTAAAAGAATCAAACATGATGTTACAATTATCAAATCAACTTTTAACACTACATGAATGTATAAAATCTGTAAAAAGTTATCAGGAAGAAAAACGATATGTGGATGTAGCTAAGACATTATGCCATATGTATAGTATCCTAAATGATCCACAAACTGGTCTACGCGATCTTGATATTTACACAGCAATTGAGGCAGAATGTTTGAATTTGTATACTTCATTCTTATCTGACACATCATCATTGTTGTACGAGCGAATTTGTTGGACCGGCATCGACGAAAAAGACGAAAAGATCGTCAGATTAAGCGTAAAAGATGAATTCGATGATATGCAAGAATTGATTCAGGGTTTGCATTATATAGACAATCTCTCAAGTCATCTGCACAGATTCTCTACAATGCTTATGGACTACATCATCACTCCCATCATCAATGATGATTGTTCCGTGTACGTGGTCGACGAGAAGGTTTTCACCGTCGAAGTTCTGAACAAAAAGAAATCACCGAGCTACAAGAGCGTACTTTACAATTTAGAATTGCTATTCAAATTTCTTCATCAGTATTTCAGCGTGATTATATATGATGAGGAAACCTTCTTAAAGCAGATACAGCCTCATTTACTGGATCGATTATCAACTTCATTAACAGCCGACTGTATCTCGCGAATTATTCCAACTTCGAACGCTGATCTGAAAAATTTCACACCCATCGTTCAGGCAATTAATGATTTCCAATATTTCTTAGTTAAAATTGGTAGGGCCAATGTCTATTTTATTATAACATTTGTTCCTTTTAATTAAATTTAACAGTTCATGTTTGCTGTTTCAGGGTTCATCACGAACGATCAACTCTTCCTCTCAGAATACACGAAAAATATTGATCAGTTGTTCATTAACAAAGTTTGTCAAAATTTGTTAACGAAAGCTCGGAACATTATGAAGAAAGATTTACACGATTGTATCACGTATGAGCCCCAAGTAAGTTTTTCTTAAATCATTGTGTATTATTCAATTGAGGTTGATTTAATCGTTGTTCTAGGAACCACTTGAATTTCCAGACGTCACATATGATTATGAAAAATTAAAGATTAACAAAAAATTAAGCGATAGTACGTTTCAACTTCCTAAGTGTCAAATAAGGTATAAATACGATTTAAAAAATTATGTTAAATATATAAAGATTTGGAAACAATTTATTACATAAACTGTATTTTAGCAAGAATACAAAAGAGATATTAGATCTTGCACGAAATATTTTGGACGAAGCGTGTTACTGTTCAGATTCGTGCGCTGTCCGACTGTTTTATACGTGTAGGAATATTTTTGAAATGTATGCAGGTCTCGTGCCTGAACACCACAGAAAATTTTTAGAAACAATACCGCAACAAGTTGGTGAGAATCTAATTATATTTAAACTGAAATTGAAATCTGTATATAAATTTAAATAATTTATATTTTCATTTAGCGGTATTCCATAATAATTGTATGTATCTCGCACATCATCTTCTCACATTGGGGTACGAATATAGAGACAAATTACCGGAGGCGTTGAAAAAATCTAATTTAACTTTTGCTGATCAGATACTAGTATTAAGAGATGTAGGATCAACGTGCTTTTTAGAGCATATGAAGTATCAACGAAATATTATTTTTGATATTCTCAAAGAGTCTGGTTAGTAACATTAGTATGTTTCAGTGCATTCACTCATGATATACATAATATATAATTAAAATGTTTTATTTTGAAATAAGGTTTGTCAGCATTAGGTCAAACCTCTGATTTACATCCTAGCACTGAGCGTGCAATGAGGCAATGCATTAGACAATTGGAATTGTTAAAAACAGTTTGGCTAGATGTGTTGCCAGTAAATATATATTGTAGAGCTGTAGGATGCATTATGAATTCTATGGTCGAAGATCTAATAATTAGAGTAACATCCGTCGAAGACATTCCTGCTGATGTTGCAACTGAACTAGTAGCATTATTTAACATGATCGTTAAGCGTGCACCACAAATCTTTCCGGT